CCGTTACTCTATAAATATATGTGACATCAGAACGACAATATCTGTGACATCAGAACGGTCCATTTTTGGAACCTTTTCACTAGACCTGTAGACCACAATATCAGCCAAATAATTCTTTTAAGACCACACAGATTATTCAATGGTTTTAATCACACAACAACGATACACTCTATCATTATTAAAGACCATGCACAAACATTACTTCAAACTATCACATGACCACTGACCACAACCGTACACTGAGTACGGTATGTACTATCCAAAACACGAGCCTCGAGTGGGCATGTTGTAAAAGACGGACTGGACTGGACTGGACTGGACCGGACTGGACTGGACTGGACCGGGAAAACGCGGACTGAGTCCGTGTTTTACAAATCGCGGACTGAATTTGTAAAACACGGACTGGACTGGACCGGGAAAACACGGACTGAGTCCGTGTTTTACAAATCGCGAACTAAGATTTGTAAAACGCGGACTGAGTCCGTGTTTTACAAATCGCGGGCTGCAATTTGTAAAAGGCGGACTCATTTCCTGAAAGCACTAAGGATGAACGGTCGCAGTAAAGTATTGTCTATTCTTAATTTCTTATGACAAAGTTCAATGTTTTTACCGAGAAACTTCAATGTTTTTGATGATCATTTATGATCATTTGGTGGTTTCAAAGCTTGGATCTGGTTGTTCAACATATTAATATCAGATCAGAACCTGTCAAGTGCTCTTGACAAACATCGAAGATTCTCACGCGAATAGGCAATGTTTTTATCAACGACCGTTCATCCTGCAAGCGACGGTACATGGACTCAGTCCAGAGGAGGAATCGTCACTATACCGTGATGCATTGCGGCGGATTTTTTTCTCAATTGTGAATTTCGCGTGCGATCGACGAAATAATTGGGAGTTTTCATCGAATTTTTTCTCGCCGAAAATCACGAAAGTTTCAAAGGTATTTATTAAAAATATGTTCTTGGGTATTGAAATTTACTATATAAATATTTTATTTGGGTTATTTGATACTTTTGGAGCGAATAATTTGCATATGTTTTGACCTATTTTCCGGGTCACTGCACACAGCCGGAAATTGGCTTCAATATATGATGGGGTCGTTTATAGTTTAAAATAGAAAAAGTCGAAAAAAATCGTACCAGTACATAGAAGAGAAGTTATTCTTTGAAATGCTACCAAGAAATCAAAAACGACCCCTCAAACCGAGAAGTCAATGGCTTTTCAAAATGGGGTATTTGGTGCTTGATTTATTCAAACCAGATTCAAACTATGCGTAAACACGCGACATTCCGGTTACCGCGCGAAATGGCGCGAAAACACAATGATATTCAATTCATCATGCAATGGCCTGCAATCATGTTATTTTTCAGTTTTGATATATAGGAACATGAGTTCGTACCCTTTATCAAATGTTCTTATCCATTTTCTATTATATTGATGAAGTATTAAAGAGACAATAGCTTGTTTAAGACTGATATTTACAGTTTATACTGGAGAAAGCAATGTTGTTTGTTTGTATTAATATAAAATAGGATACCTCTATGATTTGCTATGAAATGTAATCTCGTGATGTTGCTAATGAGAATACTGCTAAGCGTGTATATGTTTTGAGTAGTAATACCCAAGCAAGTGCACCTAGACCTGTGATTTTTGATGTCATCAGGCTACGGGAGCTCCTTATTGGCCAGGTATAGCATCTGGCCCGCATGTTACATTTTTCAAAATGAAAGCTAGCTAAAATTATTAGGGGGGGGGGCGATCGCCCCCCTATTTTCCGCCACTGTTGTCAGGTATACGAGTATCATCAAGATGCTGTTCAAGGGCGGATTTTCATTTTTAAAGGAGTGGAAAAATTTCTAGTGAGGTGTAAGTGGCACCACTGAGCAAGCTTCGGCAGGGGTTGGGCATTAGGATTAAAGACCTTCACACAAAATAGGAGGGGTGAAGCAAAATTTTGGGGTTGAACACTTTATAAGAGGGGTTAGAGAGATTCTAGGGTACCCCCCCAGTAAATCTGCCCATGATGCTGTTAGAAATTATTGGGCAGGTGAGGGGGTGTGGCCACTATGCTTTCAGTTTGAAAGGTTAAGAGCCCCCCTCCCTGTGTGTACTTTTGTTGAATTTCAGGAATAATGATGCTGCATGGATATGTCATTGACATCTTATGAACTCCATTCACTAGCATTACTCATTAGGCTGTATTCTTGTCAAAATTATGCTATGAATGACCCCATAGTCATAATCACTTCATATCTCTCTATAATAAAATGGCCAATGTTCCATCAACACCTGATATATATTTCAGAACAGTACAATTAACTTGTTTCATTTTATCTTTCTGTCTTTCAGATAGTCGACTTAAAGGTCAAGGGTATACAATTCCGACAGAAAAAGATTTGTTTCCTTGGAGGAGGCTGAATCTCATCATATTTTGGCTTGTCTATATATGACAGTTTGGCTGAGCTTGTAATTGACAACAGAAAAGATCATTTTACCAAAACACACAAGCCTGTAAATGTTGAATCTCAGACATACAACCAAACAGCATCACAATGTGAACTGAAACACCACAACCTGCAGACATTGCTCAATAATTGCCCACATTGGAAAGTGTATTAAAATTGGCAAGCCATTTGGAGAATACTCATTGCATCTCATTCTTAATACAGACTGTCCAGTAAAGCAATGATAAGGCATATTTTAAACTTTATTCATACTTCATCAGTTTTACATTATTTCACATTACACCATAGTATATATTATTGACATTAAGCCATGCTGTAGTAATATGTAAAATAGGGGTGCACCAGAACCAATTTTTAAAGTTCCTGCCAGAACTGCGAAAAAGTTCTGGCCAGAACTGATTTATTAAGCCATGTATAGTCATATGTTACTTTGTCTGCTGGCAGATACTTCAAGTCATCAAGGAGGGCTCGCAAATGTGAGAATAAAAAGATTGACAAACTTTAAACATCATGTACATTTTCCTTGTGTAGTCCAAATTCCTTCCTACTGTGAACTTTTGTTTGACACAAAAACGTATGATATTCTATCTCTCTGAAAACAACAGAGTTCCAGTTCCGGTCATGCTTTTTTTATTAGTTCCAGCTGGAACTCTGAAAAATCGGAGTTCCAGCAGGAACTAACCGGCTGGAACCGAGTTCTGGTGCACCCATAATGTAAAATCATAATTTTAAAAAATAAATAAGTTAAGCAGTTAACATGTAAATATATAAATAGGTATAAATAATTTTAATATTTTATGACTCTAGATAATATTTTATACAGTAGGTTTAGATAGGGGTAGGCACATTAAAAGTACTGTTCCCTGTTCTTCTAACCTTAATATACTTTCCATGTATTTTGGTTATTTAATGGAAATAGTGCAACATTTCATAAAATATGCTGTTTAAAATTTTAAGTGCTGTTTCTAACAACAAAATAATTTCAAAATCAATTGACTTGTGTCTTTATTCTGTTTATAACCAGCGACCGTTGTGTACCAGAACTGTATGTGGCTGCACAGAGTTCAAACCTGGGTATAAAAGCTCTGTCTCATCAATATCACATGTACCTCTTCATCATCTTATCTGTTGACTCTCAATGAGGTGGTAGATCTACTAAGCAGACAGGATTCATATGTTGATGGTAGCAATTACATGGTGCTTGTCTTTTTACTGATTTAGTGGTGGAATACAGCATCCAACTCTTGACCATCACTTGATGGTGATGGTAGAATATCAAATTCCCACAAAATATTACATGTATTGAATATTCTCTTTGCCAGGGTCATCCAAGTCGAAGAACTAATGCAAGATATACAAGAACAAATCAGTTTTATATATAGTCAGAATAACTTCAGGAGATACTGTCAGTATAAAAGATTGTACAAATTCCTACATATATGCCCTAAAAATTTAAAGTGGCTTCCAAAACTTGTTATGATTTTAAATCTTTAATATCATGATTTGAAGTTTCTGTAGTGAATATTATTCCTGAAGTCGATATAACTGGTGTTAGTTACATTTATTATATATGGCAATTTTATAATACCCTATTAAAACATGGCAAATTTGATATAAATCTTATCCATATTTATTGAGGTTGTGCATGTTTGATGTTTCTACAAAGTTCGCTCGAATATCTACAACTTCAATATAACCTCTTACTGTGAAAAGCTCACCTTAAAAACACAACTAGAATGCATCATTCGGTAAACATTTGGGCAACTTTAACCCCATTCACAGTTGATAGAAAAATTGCATGGCCTCTCATCTGAAACTAACGTTAATCCTACGGCACTGCTCAACACACGTTACTCCATCAGGGGATAGATACAAAGGCTGTGAGGACCCAACAAACATAAATCAGATGAGGTGCTTCACTGCTTCCAAAAGAGAAGCTTTAATCCCATGCCAGGAGCGAAAAATATGCGCCATGTTCTAAAACGATAGATTTTCTGAGATGTGTTTACAACGACAGCCAACGAACACTGAGCGAGCTGCGCCGGAGAATTGATAATATGTATACAATGGTCCAAAACCGCAATGCATTGTGGTATACTGACGAGACCTCCTCTGGACTCAGTCCTGTACTGACTCAGTCGTAAAAGTTTTGGCGGGAATTGCACTCAGTCGTGAGAGTTTTGGCGGGAATTGCGGATATTAATAGGTCGGTCAAGGAATAATCATATCCTGGAGCTATAAAGGTTGGTAAAAATTACTATTATTTATTTATTGTTTTGAATAAACTGATGAACAGCGTTCAATCTTAGGAACACGCTCAGCCATGTGGGACTTTGTGCCAGTTGTCGAGGAAACTCGCGCGTATATCAAATGTGGCCGTTTCATAAACAGTTGTATGCCTGTATAGATATAGGCTAGCTCTTATAGGTCAGTATATCTATATTTCCCTCGAGACGGTGTTTCAAACAGGATGAACTAGTGGTATTACATATTGACACATTATCACGATATAAAGTATAGCAGATACCATTTAGTGTTAATCATAATTAGAAGAAAATAGAGTTAATTCGTTTATTTTGTGTTCGTGGCGAAGAGGGCGTATTAAATAAAGGTGTCTACAAATTTGCGAGAAATATGAAATGAATACTCTAATCGAATTTGCCTTTTAAATATTTGTGTTATTAAACGGGGAAACTCTCGCAGGCCATCAAAACATCAAAACAGTCTATTAACTTTTATTGTTGTCATACGAGGAAGTTTCTAAAAATCGTTATTCGATTATAGTATTCATTTCGCATATTTCTCGCAAATTTATAGACACCCTTTTACACCCGTTTTCAAAATTACGCGACCTCCCTGAAAAATACTCTTTACTTTTATGTCACAAAAAATGCTAAAAATAGAAAACGTAAACAAACTGTCAAAAGACATTTTAAACCGTATTTAATACCAAAACTGAACAAAAATGAGTTAGATACAAGCACAATACAAACCATCACAACAGAAATATGTGTCGTGAATAACTTTTAAAGTTTGAAAAATAACAATTTATAACAACCCCTTGGAATATAGCTGTTAGTATAAAACACGCGCGCGCCAGAACGGTGATGTTATGATTTTGTTTGTGCCTAAATTTCGCAATAATTCCCACTAAAAAGTATCTTGAAATCATTGTAAGCCTGTTTATATAAAGCATACAAAGCATATACATCGACAAGGAACCGCAAAACTCAAAGTTTAAACTTCGTGACCGAATGACATAAAACTGACATGTCAACTCTAGCATGCATTTTCGTCCTTGATCACGTAATTTTGAAAACGGGTGAAAGCGTTTGAAAACTCTTCGCCACGAACGCAAAATAAACAAATTAACTCTATTTTAAGTCTAATTATGAGTAACACTAAATGGTATTTGCTATAAGAGCTAATATCCAGGGGCGAAACTAGCCCCTTTTAATTCGGGGGGTGTCTGCCAATTCCTGTTAAAACATGGCTTAACCCTTAATATTTTTGGACCAATATAAATTCTATAGATTCCCTCTGAAAGCCCTGTAAATTACTTAATTAACTCAACATTCTATCATTTAAAATCTTTGATTTATTCAAAACAATAAATAATAGTAATTTTTACCAACCTTAGCTCCAGGATCTGATTATTCCTTGACCGACCTATTAATATCCGCAATTCCCGCCAAAACTGAGTCAGTACAGGACTGAGTCCATGTACCGTCGCTTGCAGGATGAACGGTCGTTGATAAAAACATTGCCTATTCGCGTGAGAATCTTCGATATTTGTCAAGAGCACTTGACAGGTTCTGATCTGATGTTAATCTGTTGAACAACAAGATCCAAGCTTTGAAAGAGGGTGGGAAAGGGTATTTTCGTGAGCCGTGAATGGTCAATATTTGTTCGCGTGAAATGTGAAATGCTTGATTTTAGTGTCGTGAAATGTGATTTGTTCTACAGCCGTGAGGCGTGATTGTCGATAAAAATGCTCCGTGAAATGAGAATTAAAGTGTCTGTTTCGTGAACTGTGATTTTGCTTTGTTTATTTCGATTAGTATTTCGAATCAGTCATAATAGACATGATACGCGATAATCAATTTATATGATCGATCTCACTCGATTGCACAAGAGTAAAAACTTCGGAGGCCATTCGGTGGTCGTCGAACATACTCGTCACTCAAACTTTTTAAGTTATGATGTATAGTTTTTAACTGCCAGGCAGAGAAGTGAGAGAACCGGCTTAAAGCGTAGATACTGTACCATGCATTAAACATAAATAAACCTATTATTATTATATTATTTTATTAGAATCTAGTTTTCCGTGAAATTGCATTTTTAAGACACGTGAATCGTGAAACGGCTTTTTTTTTTCGTTGTGAAACGTGATCCATACCCCCCCTTTCCCACCCTCTTGAAACCACCAAATGATCATAAATGATCATCAAAAACATTGAAGTTTCTCGGTAAAAACATTGAACTTTGTCATGAGAATAGACAATTATACTTTACTGCGACCGTTCATCCTTAGTGCATTCAGTAAATGAGTCCGCCTTTTACAAAATCCAGCCCGCGATTTGTAAAACACGGACTCAGTCCGCGTTTTACAAATCTTAGTTCGCGATTTGTAAAACACAGACGTTTTCCCGGTCCAGTCCAGTCCAGTCCGTGTTTTACAAATTAAGTCCGCGATTTGTAAAACACGGACTCAGTCCGCGTTTTCCCGGTCCAGTCCAGTCCAGTCTGGTCCAGTCCAGTCCAGTCCAGTCCGTCTTTTACAACATGCCCATCGAGTGCTTTATCAGATATAAAAGACGAAAGCGCATGCAAAACAGGCTTTATTATAAGTAATAGCATAAAAAGAGGCGAATTAGCTATTAAAACGTCCCGCCAAATGAGAGTCATTTCACGTGTTAACATTTCAGAACTTCATCACAATCTGCTGTTTTATACACATACCTATGGCCAGATAATGGGTGTGCGGTGGTGATTTATTTTGCAGATCTTTCTCTTATACGAAACACTAGTACTACTATTACACCATAGAAATGGTAAAGTTTTGAACATATATTAATAAAACTGCTAACATTTGACAAAGTAAATTTAATACAGTACGTAATTATATAAATATCAAATAATTGCAGATGCAACCTTGAGACACAAGTACATATTAATTTTGATTCAAGGCATTTTTTAATACCATGGACTGGTGGGGCATTTTCCCCACTGGGCCCCTTCCTCTGCCCCACCACTGAAGAAAAAGAATGGTCTATTGCCCCAAAGCCAGGGCCCTATGACCTGTATTGAGTAAATGAGTTTAACATTGAAAAGAAGTTTGAAAAACAAAATTTGTTGGCGAGCATACTTAAACTTATGTTATGTTTGAATGTTTAATATGCAATTTATTACAAATTTCACCATTAAAACTTTGTTTTGAGAAAGATTTTTTTAAATGTGTTCTCAGAAATGCTATTTCAGAGACGCAAATTTTAAAAATTTCCGGGGGGGGAGACATGCCCCCAGCTTCTAACCCCCCTAGCTAACTCGTGCCTGCGGTACTCTGCTCACACCTTCGGCGACAGCATACTATGCTGGGGGAGGGCATGGAAAATGGAGGGTCTCCCAGGGGGGGTACTTGTTCCCGTGTTCCCTTCAAAATTTTCGCTTTGTTCCCTTGTTCCCTTTCAAAATTTAACCATGCTCCCTTGTTCCCCTATATAAATTAAATTTTGTTTCGTTATTCAGAAAATTTGACAGTTTATCCTCGCTATTATCCATTATATTAATACATACGTTCACTTTACCAAAATTAAACAGAAAAATACAATCACAAGCCTGCAGATGTTGCTCATTTGAAAAATACAATACTGAAGAAGACTATAATGTTTCAATAGTTATTTGACTTCGTGGAAGTATTGACAGTATTAGTGTATTACTATTACATAACAAAAAATAGATCTAATGAACAGCATTGCATTTATAGTTTCTTCAATTGTTCCAACGATTAAAGTACTAAAGTATCACCTTTACTAATCATAATATACAAAATCGTCAGTAGCCTATGTGGTGTCTTTCTTGCACATCTTGGCTTCGTATCTGTTGCACTTTCTTGGTCGATATCCTGGCGCTCTCTAATTTCTCTCGCCTCTTCAATCGTCACAGCATCAACACATTCAAGACATTCAATCATTCTCGACTGCTATCTTAGAAACTCATTCTCTGTCAGTTCAAGGTTGCTATCTCCTGCAAACGGTTTCCACTTGAGAACCAGGTATTTCTTTCGCATTGACCTTTACAACTCCTTCTTTTGTAAATACAAGTGGATTGAAAGGGTCACCCTCAAAAATGGTGGCTCTTGCTTTCTTTGTTGAAACACTAACGTTTTCTTGTAGATGGTAGATCGTCATCCGCCCACAATTGGCGTACGAGGCAAGAAAAACAACGTCCCCAGTGGAATGAGGAAGGTTGTGCATGTTGGCATGGTGTGTGTCTGTTTGGGTACCATTTTCTGTAATTTTCGAGAATTCCAAAGGCTCGCTAGCTAGCTGTGCCAGGGCATAGAGATTTATCGGCAGAGTACCCGGATTGTCTTTAGTGCTCATGTTCCGCACGGTATTTGTGGGACACTTTGACCATACTTCATGCGCCAGTCTGTCATTTGCTGCACTTGTGACTTTGTCAACTGTGCTGCTGAAGGTGGGGCCATCTTTGGTAGAGTTGAATACTTCAAGTCAGATTTGACTTGAAGTATTCAAGTGCTCCTTCATTGCTCGACTGAAGTGAAAGTGGAACTGCAACTGCATTGGCATATCACATGCCCTGCCCTTATGTCGAGGAAACAATTTTCGACTACCCGCGTTAAACGGCTTTAAGTTTGAACAACTTCAAAAGCTGTGGATCATACTTTTGAAGCAGACCTTGCATTTCTCCCAAAGATTCTTGTTTCGTCTTCCACAACGACTGAAGAAACGTTTCCTTGCGGACCTTGGCTCTGGGCATTTGTTCTAAGGAAGGCTTTGACTTGTTCTATGTATGCACTGACAATCGAAGTCATATGCCTCTTCGATTCTGGTAATTGCCGCGTCGATTGTGAAGGGCGTTGCCGTTGGTATCTGCTTTTTCAGGTGCAAGCAAAATGTGACCGAGAAAAGTCATGATGGCTGCTCAAAAATCTGACTAGAGGAGAAACTTCACTTATCATCCTCAAGCAGCCCGTAGAACAGTCTACCACAGGTACACTAGCTGGTTGGACAAATTGGAGAAAACGATATATTATGCCCATTTTTCATCTACAATACATTAGGCCATTGTACCACTTGTATATATTTTAGGAAAGGGGCTTTGTTCCCCTGTTCCCCAATATATTTCGTGTTCCCTTGTTCCCTAATTTTGTTTTCCTTTGTTCACATGTTCCCATTGTAAAATTTACAGTGTTCCCTTGTTCCCCCAAAACCCCTGGGAGACCCTCAAAATGGGCCCTTTGGCAGTTTTGCCCCACCACTGAAGAACCTTAAAAAATGCACTGTTTTGATTACATGTGACAAAAATACTCAAAATATTTGCTAAATCAATCGACGCTTGTTTAAAGATAGAAAGATTCAATTTAAAGTTTCATTGAACATCTGTCCATTAGATCACGAGCTCTTTGGGATGTTCCCAGGTGAAGTCCACTCCTGGTTTGAAATGTCCATAGATACAGGTCTTTTCAAAAATTGGACGTTTCAGCTTCAAATCTCTGTGAACAAAAAATACGTTTGTTAATTAAACCGGTCAAACTGACATACTCGATTCTGTCAAAATTTAATTCTAGATGTCCAGCAAGAAACATCTCTTATTGGTCCAGTGCATGTAACCACAGGAGGAAACTATAACTAAAATAAGTCTATTTATACTGAATATATACTGGTTCTAAATTGTTCTCCCCAGAGGTACAGTAAAGGATCAGACAAGAGACAAACTGATTTTTCTTCCTTACCTAACCACAATGCCAGGCCTAAAATCGAAATTCTTTTTCACAATTTCTAATAATTCCTCATCACTTTTTTCTCCACTACCATACGAGAACACAGTGATTGACAGAGGCTCTGCAACACCAATGGCGTACGAAACTTGGATAAGACAACGTTTGCAAAGTTTTGCTGCTACAAGAGACTTCGCCGCCCATCTTGCAGCATAGGCTCCTGAGCGGTCCACCTGAAACACACAGCGTTATGCATGTAATATTTACGTCATACTGTCATGTCTGTCATCTTCCACAAATCACACTCACACTCTCACACTCACACTGGCCACCAAAATTCGACTTTATAAAGGTAGACCAGATTGAAAATTTTGGAGAATGCATGGGCACCATTTTGCCCACAATTTTGTGCAAGTTGGGTTAAATTACTGCTTTAATGGGCTTTAGGAATGTGGACATGTCCTGAAAGTGCACGGCTGTGGCTTAAAATGACCAATATGGATTTCATTGAAGGGACAAACATTTGTTGCATCTTATGATTTATGCAATATGGTTGGTTAATAATTTATTAATCGACTGTTGATATAACAGTTAATATAATACCTTAGACGAGTCTTTCCCAGAGAAAGCGCCACCTCCATGTGCTCCCCACCCACCGTATGAATCCACAATGATCTTACGCCCAGTGAGACCAGCATCACCTTGCGGACCTCCGACCACAAATCTTCCTGATGGTTGGATATGGTAGATTGTCTTCTTATCCAGGTACTTGGCTGGAATCACTTTCTGTATTGAAATCATATCAAAAAAAATTTTTAGTTAAGGTCCTATAGGTGGGTACAACAGATGGTGGTTAACTTAGAGTAATATTACCATACGGTTAAGAAAATTACATGTTTTATTCTTGTATTTGAAGGTTAAATGAATAAAATTGCAAGATTTAATTTAATTTTCTTGCTTCTACATATGTGTCAACATTTCTGAATTTGGCCACCTGTCCATCTTTTGCCCAGTGTAATGCTTATTGGAACCTGCCAATATACAATATTTACATTCTGGCACAAATTGTATTGAACTAACTTCTGTAAATAAAATATGAATTGGAATGTGATTGTACTGTACATATGAGCGAAATCAATGAGGTAAGAAATGACTAAATCATATGACGAACCTTAACTATTTTCTCCATGATTACGTTTCTTAATTCTTCTGTTGTAACCTCTTCAGCATGTTGTGCCGAAACAACAACGGTATGAACTCACTGTGGTACAAGCACACCTCCTTCTTGCTTATACTCTACAGTCACTTGGGTTTTCGTGTCAGGTCTCAGCCACGGGATTGATCCATCACGACGACTATCAGCCATCTTTTCATTCAGCTTGTGTGACAGTATGACGGTGAGGGGCATTAACTCATCTGTCTCATCGGTTGCATAACCGAACATCAGACCTTGATCACCCGCTCCAATTTCCTCATCCTTCCGTCCTTTGTGAACTCCTGCAGCAATGTCGAGACTTTGTTGTTCAACCGCAACTAACACATTGCATGTTTTGTAATCAAATCCTAAAAATCAATTCGTAGATTATAATCGCTGGCCACATAACGTAAATGCTAGATGTTTTCACTTATTAATTAAAGAAAGACACTTGTGCAATATTGATTACTCCATAAGCTACAAGAATTCAACCCTTTGTTGCTCTTTTAATCTGCCCAACACCAGACAACTTAACTTATAAAGGGGAAAGTGTTGGGCGTTAATGGTTAACCAGAGACTATCCTGCTAATATTTCTGTATATATTTGAGCGTACACAATAATGTCTCTTTATGTGAACGCATTATCCAGGATTACCTTCTACCCGTGTTTCTTGTTAACCATTAAGGTGCAATGTGCCCTGTGTACAGTTTATTTTTATTTTACTCTGTCTATCCCCAGCCAATTTCACTTGTCAAGGGGAAACTGCTAGTCATTAATGAGGGACGGGGGCTTTTTGTTGTCAAAACCCAATAAGTTGCAATGTACCCTAATAATCCTACATTGCAATTTTACTTTGTTTATCCACAGCCCATTTGGGTAAGTGTTGGATTAATCCACGATACCTTTGTTGCTATCGTCATAGCCAATGCGCTTGATGGTACCACGAACAACTTTCTGGTAGTCCACTACGGCTTTGGACGTGATTTCACCAAACACCATAATCATGCCAGTTTTTGACGCAGACTCTAGTTAAAAATTCACGGAAATCATCAATTGGCGAGTAAACTTTATGGGCTCATCCGCTCATGGGCAGTTTAGCTCTCTTAAAAGTGCCTTGAAAAGCGTGTGTAGGTTGTTCTATGTAGGAAGTATTCTATACAGTAACTTGTCGTGGTTTATGTCTGGACTACCTGATAAAGACATCTCCAATGTAGGGCCCTATAGTTTAAGTAGTATTCTACAGCAAGCTACAGTGATTTGTGTCTGAACTACCTGAAATATTTCAAGGGCACTTCAGGTTTAAAGCGAAGGCTATTTGTCTCGAAGTTCAATATACCTGGTAATACGGGATTTTATTATAAAAGAAATAACACGCTTGAATTGCTGTAAGGTATTTTATTAAAATTATGTGCAGTTACTAGTACTGGCAGGGAAATTTAATGAAATATAATTCAGTAAACAACACATGAGTATTGCACCTATAAAATAGATAATTGTATGTAGAAGATTAAATCTGAAACTTTAATGTATCTTCAAAATTTCAAGTTTCTAGGTTTTCACCCAGTGGCGACAGAACAGTTGTTAATTTTTTTGGGTGGTGAGGACTAAGAAACATATTGGGCACAAAATCTAGTTTTATCGCTATGCATGCATATGAGCATATTCGCGTTTTATTACAAAATCCGCGTTTTATCCCCATATATGCTCTCCGGGTTCTTAGTATTATCCGTTCCGTTCCGTATCCGCATCCGCCTTTTATCCCAACCGAGTGTTGATCGACATCTAAAACCAAAAGTAGGGAAAGCTGCTACTTTCGATATTTTACAACATACTAAAAACATACCGCAAGCGACTTTGGCGTTAGGATCTTGAGCTAAATGTGCATCTAAGACAGCATCTGAAACTTGGTCACAAATCTTATCTAAAAATTGGACAGAGAAGTACATTAGGTCGCTCTAAACTACATTTACGATTTAGAAATTTCGAACTAATTATATTATATAATAATTTAAGCCTGTTTCACACTAGCAGTTCCCGGTCGGCGATTTTTCTCGACCTCCTGGCAAATGTGATCGAACGAATGACATGCAAAAAACTGAATAGCAACTTGTTTACTTCTGAAAAGAGACTATACTTTTGTGTGCGAGTCACTCATTTGCATCCGTCAGAAACACAAAATCGCCGACGAAATTGCCAGTGTGAACCAGGCTTAAAGAGCTAACTAAGACAAGAGCATTTGTATAAACTCGAACGTCTTGAATATTGTATATAGGTGAAACTGAGTTCCATATTTTCTTCGACGAAAAACCACTAACATGCTCAAAAATTTAATATGACTTAAATAGTACCTAAGCATAAACTTACCGGGATGTCCTTCTCCCACGGATTCAGAGGTGAAAAGAAATGTCGTATTATTTGAAGCGGCGTTCATTTTCGTGAACAAAGTTTCTTGCAAAGGTATCGTTTAAATTAAGACACAGCTTTTATAAGACCTAACCACTCTCTCTTCCTCTGCACAAATGCGACTGAAAGACGTCTACGAGAAACAATTAAACTTTGATCACAGCTCACGTGATTCAGACTCAAGTAGATTTTCTCAACCGTGATTGGCCAATACTAATCATGTACGCATCCGATCGCGATCATGTGATTTGTATCAATATTGAAGTTTTATACCCTTCCAAGAAGTATTAATGAAAATATTCAAGTGTGTTTGCGTTAAAATGGATTAAAATGATATGAAAGTCGCAGTTGTACAATTGCACACATTTATAGCCAAACATTTCGACATTTCGAGGAAACGTAATCCTTTGAATTGAAAAATACTTATTACTTTTGTTTCAAGACTTTTTCCAAGTATTTCCAGTATGGAAAAGCATACTTATATACGTCGTCTTAACATTCCTGGAATCCAACTTTAACCGAAATAGAGATTAGAGAACAGAATTATCAGTATAGCAGTTTTAATTAAATATCAGCTAAATTTCTCAACTAGCTTGGAACGTCGGTAGACGAGGTATGAAGATCCGGCGAACATTCAGTCTATATGAACTGTCTATACTCACTATATATATAGTAAAAGCGTGAACAACAACGCAGCAAACCGTCTGTCGTCCGAATGATTTTAAAATTCTGAGGAACAAACGTCGAATCTAATTATTGGTTCATCTGCAGCAAATCGCAAGGTCTACTATCTGTAGCGGTTGCGTGCCAGCGTGTGCCGTATCGACTATCGTATGTTTCAGTACGCGTAAGTCATCTCCTTCAATCTTTTATTTCTTTTAAAACGAATTATCTTGCTTAAAAGTAGCTTTGTTTATTACCTTTAACCCTTAATTAAATTCCCTTAAATGCAAGCTTGGACAAGCTATGAGTTTGAATAAAATCATTTTTTAATACTCCGAAGATTACGCCAAAGTTCAAATCAAATGCATGATCATGATTCTTATATGCTTCGTGCATTCAACGCATGGCCGCCATATTTTTACAGTCATATCAATTTATGTTTTCAGTCTGTTTGGACCGTATTGAAAGGTTTTTAAACGGCTAAACGTATACGAATATGTAAAAACATGTAAAAACTTGCAGAATTACTTCAAAACTCAACAACTTACACCTGCCATTAAGTCTACGTGTGACATTCTTTAAAAAGTTACGAAATATAAATGAAATACTGCACACATGCAGCTGTGCATGCTTTTTGAAAGAAAATTTTGATGTCTTTAATCAATCCACTGAATCAATCAGAATCAAGTAAAATTGGTTAAAATAATAGTAGAGGCTATATGCAGCATTGTACATTTCAGCAACGATTGGCGGAATTTCTCTTGTTTGATTAGTATTCTCTTGTATTTATTCAAGAGAACGTGAATCTCATCGAGATTAGGCAATTGTCGAGGCCAGGGCGAGGGTCGAGACTCAAAATATTTGATGTGAAAATTTATAAATTTCCTGTTTCATTAATAAATAAAAACATAAATTTGATGATACTTTAAACCGAATAAAAATTTGTATGGATACGCTTTGACAAATATTTGTCCATATAAGAAAGCGATCTGCCTATGGCCCCTACTGAAACTGCTGATCATGTACTCAGTTCGAATTTTGGTGACACTCGACAAATATGTGTACGGAGCGATATGTACAAGTATGCAGTGGCATAGTTTATAATGTGATCTTGTGTATCTATTTGTGTACGTTTAGCCAAACATTTCGAGGAAAATAAATTCTTTGAATCGAAAAAATCCTTCTTATTTTTTTTCAAGACCTTTTTCCATGTATTTCGGAATCGCGGAACTGTTTTAATATTCATAACTAAGGAGTAAGGAGTAAGGGTATTCAACATTATTCTGAACAGAAACCACGAGAAGGAATTAGCTATATATAGAAACTATAGCTGTTTTAAAATTTTAACAGAATTACCGTCAAATGAATGAAGACCACAAACATTCAATATTATAGTATAAAACGCGTGAACAACAACGTCCATCGTTCAAATGATTTCGAAACTCTGAGCAGACTGAGGTCCCGCACTGAGGAACAAACGTCGAATCTAATTAGATATTGGTTGTCCGTAAGTCATTTCTCACTCAAGCTTTTATTTATCTTAAACTTTATAATATAGAGCGAATTATCTCGCTATAATAAATAGTTTTGTTCGTTTGGTGATTACTTTCACCTTTAAATTTAAGTATGCCAAAGTTCAAGTTACTTTCATTGCATCGTGATATGGTTCGTGTATTGATCACATATCAACAATAATATGGCCGTCATATTTTCACAGTCGTTTATGTTTTCAGTCTGTTAGATCCCATAGAAATACTCCGTTTTATACAGCCTGACGCGTATACAAATCAAGACTCAAGTGTAAAAACGTGAAGTGAAACTTGCAGAATCCCTTAATTAAAGGCCTTATGCAACGAATTTTTCGATGGTGAGATTTTTGCACATTAATTATTAAAATTTAATTTTTTCTGATCATTTTGATACCAGTCTCGATGCGAAATTCAAACTAGAAGTTAGTGAATTTTGTATTTCAAGATGGGTCCCTCGTGCGAAAAACTGGCTCGCGCTGTGACGTCACAGTAATGAGTCGTGCTGTGTGTAAACGAAGGATTAACACGTTTTACATAAGGTCCGTCGAAAACAACTTGCAGAAATCGTTATATTGCAGCTCCCGTTCGGTTCTTTTGAGGTTTTACAATGTCAGAAAGCGTTACATACGACTCTGAAACCCCTATTAACAACAATTTGAGTTCAGAAGATGAATACGAAAGCGATACTGATTCCGATTGCGGAGCTGTACAAGTAAATATGGGAGACACCGAGTCTATTCTTGCACCATACGAAGACGAGCCGATATTAACGCAGGACGAAATAGAGCAAGAATTCGAAGACGAAGTCGATATAGATGGCATTCGTATCAGTGCTCTTCAAGAGAGATTTGATAACGCGATTCCCACAAACGAATGGTATGTATAATTTAGCTAAATTATAGAATATAAATAATTCAACACAGTACCGTATAAATACCTAGCCGAAATGTGTTAAATTCTTCTTTATATATATTATACTTATATAAGTTTTGAACAGTGACAAGTGAATGCGTATAGCTCGTTTTCTTAATCAAACTTCGTTCTGCAGTCTGTCAGACTCGGACAGTTTACGAAATTCGTATTCATGCATACTCATAGAGACCCACGATTTTAGGTGCTCTTGTAACATGTGCGATACCAGTTCTTTAAACGGGACGAGAGAACAAAGATGTTGTGCAGAAATCGATAAGGCAGTGGAAAAGTTTGGACACTTAGAGAACATAGCATGCATAACCCAGGTTGAAGACTATCGATCCCTGACCAAGACAGTTGTGTTGGAACATGTTGGACCATTATTAAAAGACAGGCAAGGAAGAACATACAAGCAAAGAAGTGATCAAGGCAGAAACACGTATGTATTTTAAGCAGTCGTGTATATTATAAGCTACACAAAACAATCAGTATGTATTCATTGTAACCATTAATGCGCCCTACTTTAGTGTTTACTCTATCTAATGCCAGACAATTTTACTTGTCAAGGGAAGATCAGTCTGGGATACTGTTTTGCTGCATATAGAAAATCATAATGGGTTAATGTTTTGCTGCATAGAAAAAACACTAGTTCAGTGGATTTGATTTTTATATGTAGATATTTGAGGGCTGTGGCATACAGATGGACTATCAGATACATATTTGGATTCCTAGGATGGGAAAACACAAGACCATTGCCAGCCTGTGTGTACCACGATATAAGGACAAGGTTCCCAACCAGCCAGTCAACTGGATATTTAAATACTAATGAGAGATCATAATTGACTCAACTGGTATTAGAAATTTCTGCCAACATGTATTATGTCTAAAATCGTAGTTAATAGAAAATATGGTTTGAAAACTCTATGGAGGTACAACATAACCAGTGACGCCAAGTCTCCCGGTTAACCTTACCTCCCAGTGAACTATCTACTGTACATATCCTGGTATTCACCTGATTCTCACAGGTGAAAAAAGCCATCTGGATTTACAACAAGGCCCACAAAAACTTATAACAAAATAGAGTCCCCAAGATCCCCGGAGGTCTTATATCTGGGGGACATATCCCCAGGGAATAACTGACTGTAATCTCCCGGTTTCTGGCTTTTCAAATTTGGCATCCCTGCATAACTGTATCCCTGAGTTTTCAAACCATGGACTATATTAACTATGATAAAATGAAACATATATGTAGAATGCATTACTATAATGTATAATTTAAAGTATACATACAATATTCGGTATTGTACATATTATTTTTTAAATTGTGCCATCTTTCCAGCACATTTTTGCAATGTTTATGAACAAACTTTCTCTAAGCATGATGTTAATAATATCTTTTTGTGTTCAGTGTAAGAACCACAGCAAGGCCTCTTTTTATATCATGTGTTTATTACAACAACAAACAACGTTTCAGATATTTACTCCATCTTTAGGTAGGTATGATAGTAGTATAGGAACTGCCGGTTCTAGACAACTAGTTTTTTCTAGACCACCAGTTTTTTTTAGACCACCAGCTTTTTTTTCTAGATCACCAGCTTTTTTTCTAGACCACTAGTTTTTTACCATTAGTAAAAATTATTTTTGTTATATTAAAATTAATGGTCCCGCACCACAACGAGTGGGTTCCCGAGACTTCAGCAGTTCCATGGTCCATTTAATTGGAATGTGAAACTGCTATTCATTTAACTTATCTCAAAGCTTCGGGATCACCTTAACAGTCCAGCCGAGACTCTAATACGATTATCCTAAGTGCAATCCTACACTTTTCTAATATCGTCCGATTCCTCTATTCCAGAGCCTTTTCGACAACTTTTATTTTCTCCTTGGGGGTACACACACCCCTTACACAGAATCGTTATATATTAGTTCTAAGCACTGATTAGTACTTCCTACAACCTCCACAGTACCCATTTTAGATGTTACTTCTTAAGTGCCAAACCTAACGCCTGCATTTTTAGTTTTATCAACATTTTCAAGTCTTGCTTTGATTCTGGAGGTAGTATATCCAGGTTGTTCCTTATGTGGTTAATATCAGGCACAAGCTTTCTTAACGGTTGCAGTTTCTTGAACTTCCACCTTTTAGCAGGCACCACAACCTCAAATGGTAATCTGGGGTAGTACTTATCAATTTTTTCTTCCACTCTTACTGGTACACAGCTATGTTCTATTTTTTCTTCAGTAACCTTTTCAACATCTATTTTTTCGATCATTTGATGTCCATAAGCGTAACTTGTAATTCCATCTTCAAGTAAGTATCTTTTGTCATCAAAACAGCTAAGAGTAACCTTCTTCAATTCGTAAGTTCCAATTGCATGCTTTACACTTCTGATTGTATTCATATTATGTCTCATCCTACCTTTCGTGTTGATTACATTCTTGAAGTTCTCATGAGTGAGCTTGTTTCTGATGACATACTTTTTGACTCCTTTAGCAGTCATTCCACCTCCACCGTTTTCCTTTACATAGGAATACATTTTTGACCTCAACCCAACAAACTCAATTATGGGTACTCCTTCAGCTTCATCCTTAAACTTACCTATAACCTTTTTGTTGTGAGTTGAGTAGTATGGAGAATCTTTTGGATAATCTGAATTATCCCAACAGTTTTGCTTTTCACCAATTCTCTTAAAGTCCTCATAGACATTATCCGTTTTCAGTTCGTACATTAGACTGTCAGTATCAGTGAACAGTAGCCTTGAACTATTACCGTACTCCTTCTTGATTATGTTGTAGTGGAAATCATACATTAAATTCTTGGATAAGTCTAAGATGCTCATTCCTACGTAACATGGTTTATTTAGCGTTAGAACTTCTTTCATTCGCTTTACCACTATAAGATTCTCATTCATGATTCGATGTGACTGGAAGCAAGGTGATGCTGTCAGTTTTAGGAGGTCGTCTTTGGAGGACACTAATTTCACATCAACCCTTTTCCTAAGATTCTCCATAGTCTTTCCGTAGATTGAGTTGTTCATCAACTTGAAGAAGTTCTTTTCGAATGTATTACGGGCTGCAGACCTTTTCTTCCTATTGAAGTCTATATAGTCCTTAAGCCAGGGAGACTGCTTGAACGTAACCGCTCTATGGACCTTCGTGAGTTTCATCCCAAGGTCTGTGTACAGTTTCAGATTACGTACATGTAAGACGTAATTTTTCCTGGGACCGAGTGAAGTCACTAGTTTTCTTACTCCTCCAATTTCTCAGCAATACTCTTCGCATAATCTGACAACATAGAAGCACTGATTTTTTTACTCTCTGGTGCTAGAGGATAACCGTTGTGCAGATTGTGAAGTTCTTGTGGATATTCCAGGTCAACCTCCAAAACCATTCCCCTTTCGTTGTCTCCCAAGTAATCCTCTAGATTCATACCATCAACTTCCTCAACCCACTCAAACTCTCCGTTAGGTAGTGGTTGCGACATTGCCCAGCCATATAAATTATTAGCATCGAGGTACATCAGGTACTTGTTCTCAGACGACTCATCGTACGTCTCCATGTACTTATTATTAGCTGTGGAGTGTCTATGAGCAATATAACTTATACCACCTCTCATACCCTTCTCGAAGAACTGGAACATATCCATATCACTTACGAGTTCTATTTCTTCACCTGACTTTTTCAGGAAAGCGTCCCAACTCAGACTAGGTGCTGACACGTAATGTGCGGGGTCAAGTTCGTAACTTTCCAGACATGTTCTCCTAAAGTTTTCAAATACATCAGCTAGTAGAAGAACGTCAGTCTCCAAGTAGAGGTCGTGGTAGTCTCTCATAGTTTTCATCTTAAAGTGATCCCATACTTTCTGAGCTCTCTGGTAATCTTCTTCCTTCACCTCTGACTCATACAGTGATGAGTAGAACTTATCCTTACTCGGAAGACCTTCTGTATTGAGTTTGCTAATATCATCGAGGAACTCATATGGAAACACTCCTTTTTGTGTCACTAGATTGAAGTCCTCACCCTTCCACCTCTTACCTACTATCCTGAAGTCCTCAGGTGAAAGGTTACTTACCAGTGCTTCCAGTGAAGAAGCCATGAACTGTATAGAGTCTATGAAGACCAGATTCTTACCCAGTGAGAATGAGATGTATTTTTCCATATTATTTGGAATCACGTTGACGTTCATCTTGAACTTGCCAATTTCCTGCATAATCAGATGACTATCGTAACCTCTCAGGTTGTGGAAGACCACAGGCACTTTCCATGTAATTCTGTACTTTAGATTACATATATTGTGAGCAGCTCCACGGTACATTCCTGTTACGTGGTCATGGTCCCTTACCCTATCCTCACCAAGGTCGTTACCACATATTGAACAGTTTCTTGCAGCCTGGAATTCGAATTCCTGTTTGGGTGTAATTACCATCTTTTTCTTGAATATATTGTTGACCATCTCTCTACATCTGAAGGACTCTTTCAATACAGTCTTTAGGAAGACCAATGCAGCATCCTCTCCAACGTAACTCTTATACTCACCGGAGTACTTATCATCATAGTGGCAGACAGTCTTCAAACCAAAACTACAAGCCTTGTGTGTCTGGTAAAGGTCTGTACTACTTTTGTCCTCAGGGTTTTCTGACTCCACTTTTCTCTCCTCTGGTACTAGTATGGACTCAAAATCAGCGTATATCACAAACGGCACAGGCATTGAGTTCCTGTGATTTTTGAACTTGATTTTTGTCCCTTCCTTGGGAAGCTTTACAGCCTGAGTTCCATTTACCTCCAGACATGTTTCCTTATGCTTCTCCAGTACCTCTTTGCTCACACAACTATGAAGACAGTGTAGACAGAAGTGTTGCTTGTGTCCATGTTTATTCACACTGTGCAACATTCTGTTAACATCCTTTATGAGAACGTAATGTCTACTACCTTCACCATCACCCAGGAGTAGAAGCTCCATATGCTCATCATATTTAGCCTTGGAGTTCCTTATAGGATAGAACTGTTTCTTACCCTTGTAACCGAACACCGATATGTTGATACTATTTTTCCTCTCAATCTTATCAATATCGCTGATCTTCACAGGGAAGTCTATACCGTCGTAGTCCAGGTTCGTTATGAATTCCCTGTCTTTCTGTGTGATAGTGGTTGCCCTCCTAGCCCTAGGATTTAGATGTCTCACATGACTCCACAGGAAACACATGTCGTCATTGTTCTTCATATTGATGAGCCCACACTTTGGATTACTAATGTCCCCTGGAAGTTTTATATATGAACTACCCTTTAATGGTTTGTACATTGCGATGTTTACGTAATGACTCTCAATATTGAGTATAATCCAATTTGAACGTAAGTTTTGGAAGGTTTCAATTCTAGATAATATTGTCAGTTGGTTTTGAGCAGCTGTACTTTCAATGTCCTCGAAGTTAGTCGCAGTACCAGTTTTAGATTTGAAGTATATCGAGTCCTTTTTGGTTTTCCCGTTACCAATTTCCTTTGACATTCTCACCTTCAGAGTCTCTGTGTACTTTAACCCACCCATTCTCTTCAACTCATTCACAAGTATTCCTCTCACTACCTGTCTACTTGCAGTCATCTGGTCCAGAGGGTCCATATAATGAGGAGTTATCGAGTAAGTCACAGCGGCTCCATTTGCGGCTGTTTCAATTTTCCTGTGGAATGGCTTTTCAAGGTCTGTTCCAAATGGATCGATTTCGTGTTCCTCTGGTGTAACCACTATAGGCTGCTCCTTGACTTCCCTCGACACCCTTACAGGCTTACGGACCTTAGGAGGAGACACTGGTTTCCTAGTCCTAGGTTTTGGCACAGGTTTTTCCTTAGGAAGCTTAGTCCTGGGTTTTGGCACAGGTCTTTCCCTAGGAAGTACCGTTCTAGGCTTAGGTATTGGTCTCCATGGAGCTACACCCTTAGGCACCTCAGGAGCTTTCCTCACAGGTCTCTTATTAAGATCCACGTGAATTGTGAACTTACCTGGACCTGTTGGAGTTATGACACTATCTGCAGGCACTGAGAGTTTTACCTTCCTCTGGCTCAGGAATCTTTCTGCTACAGTTTGCTTCCTGGCCTTAACATCAGTCTTTGCCTTTGGTGGTCTGCCTCTCTTCTTTGGCACCTTCACTTCAGCATCGGTCTTTACCTTTGGTGGTCTGCCCCTCTTTTTTGGCACTTTCACTTCAGCATCAACCTTTACCTTTGGTGGTCTACCTCTGGGACGCTTTACCTTAGGATTCCTTTCGTTTTCGATTCTCTTAATTTCCTCATTAACGAGAACATCATCTGTACGCCATCTACCTCCCATTGTTGGTGGCAGTCCTTGAACTCCCTTAGACAGTAAGCTCTGGTATGCTTCCTCTACAAGTAGCGCCTTAGCCTTTTGTCTGTCAGAGTACTTCCACGTTGGCATAATTCCTCTTTTACCCTTATAGTTCTTAGGTATGCGTCTTGGCTTCTTTGTTTCCATATCACGATCGTATTCGTCTATGAACTGTTTTTCTCCCTGGAATGGGCTTTCACCCTTGTCATCGGGAGCAATCCTGTAGTTTCTGTCCTCCAAGATGTCTTCTACTCTTGCATCCATATCCTCATCACTGTCTATGATACTGTTGAGAGCCAAAAGTTGTTCTACACTGAATTCGTTCATGTTAAAGTAACTCGCCATATTTTCTAACAGTTTCTATATACTATATATGTAAAAATAAATTCGGGTATTTAATTATTAATTTATTTCGACTTTATTTTTTATTTAATTTATTTTTAATTTATTGTTTAATTCTATTGATTTATTATATTAATATTTCTTTAAGTGTTTTTATTTTTGATTTAATGTATTGTTTAATTCTATTGATTTATTATATCAGTATATCTTTAAGTGTTTTTATTTTTTGTTTAATTCTATTGATTTATTATATCAGTATATCTTTAAGTGTTTTTATTTTTGGTTTAATTTATTGTTTAATTATATTGATTTATTATATTGGCATTTCTTTAAGTGTTTTTATTTTTGGTTTAATTTATTGTTTAATTCTATTGATTTATTATATTAATATTTCTTTAAGTGTTTTTACTTTTCCAGTTATTATAATATTCCCATTTCTCAGGTTTCCATCCAAGCTCAACAAAAACTTTCCCATACAACCTATCCTCAAAGATGTCCACAATCCTTTGAGTCTTAATGTCCTCAGGAGGGTTTCTCAAGGTTATACCATTCATACTGGCTATCCTCAGTAGGTAAAACTTGTATCTAACTATGTTGCGCCCCCTTTGCAGTCTAAGTCTTTGTATACATCTTACTATGCTTCTAAACTGCTCCCTTATAATGTCCCTATCCCTAGAAGCAACATGTTCGAATAAGTGTCTCTCAAACCAACGGACTCTATTATGACAAGACTTCTTTTTCAGGTAGTCGTCCTTGTTGTAGTTGTAACTAACGTAGTATGAGAAGTTATTCATATCACTGGTACCACACTGTATGCATGTATCTGCTCCATCTATCATTACAATAGACTTACTCCCACATTCGCTACATATTGGATCATATGTGTGTTTTCCCTTTATTCTACTCTCTGCGTGCTTCCTCACAGCAGCCTCTAACTCTTCCAGTGTATTTACCTTTTTACCTACATGTGCTATCTCCTCAGGTGTTACCATCTGTAACCATTACATTTCCCTATACTTATAGCTGTGAAAATTTTTATGCCATTTTCTATAGAATTAAATAAGCTAACCCACCCACTGCTCCACCTGTAATTAAACCAAATATTGTCATATATTCTTCCATCTCAGAGCTAGGTTTGTAGTGATTACTTAATTGCGGCTTCCTTGGCATAGCCTTACGTGTTAACTCATTGATTCTTCTAACGAGTTCTAATGACTGGTTCGTTGACTTGATATTACTATTTGCCTCAGCTAGTTCTGACTTCAGTTGGGCAATCCTATTTCTCCTATCAGTGACCTCCTCAAGGTACTTCTCTCTTTCAGCTGTCAGGTTCTCCATTGCCTTGTTATGTCTATGAGCTTCCTCGGCGTATCCATTCTTGTCAAACATCTTAAATAAGTATCCTGCTCCCGCAAATGCAAATGCGTTAAAGAGTCCTCCTGCTACTGCTCCCGCCATTGTATAGTCTTACCTAGGTTTTGAATGGATCATCTGGTAGATACTTCTTTTCTTTCAAGTAAGAGACCAGTAGAGATGAAAGACTAACTGAGATAGCTAACTTCGCCATTCCTTTTACATTCTCTGGGGTACCTAATGGTTCTTTCAATAGTTTCTTTGATGCCATTGATATACCAACTGCTCCTGCTGTAAGTAACACTGCATTGTACACTTCCATAGTCATCTTTGATTCTTTACTCATCTTGCTATAATATATGGTATGTTTAATGTATCATTCAAGTGAATCTAACTTGGACTCATCGGCTTTCTTAGTTACTTCTACAGTTTTAGGGATGAACTCAGGTTCTAGCTCCTTAGTTTCCCTCTGATGTGTTTTATATGCTAGCACAAAAGATATCAATGCAATGGCCACTCCTATGTAGGTAATCATACTGTCATTACTAGGTGACTCGCTAGGTTCAGCCAGTTTCTTTTTCCTCTCCTTTGCTATTTTACTGATTGCAGCTAGTCGTTTTCCCGCAGCTACTCTTTTTGGGTCCTTCTTCTTTTCACTTGTTACTGGTACTTGATTTTGCTCAGGTTTATCTTCCATTCTACTTGTAAGATACCTTAGGTTTAACTTGGTTTCATCTTATGAGACATCTTGAATTTACTTGCAAGATGTCTCAAATCTACTGGTAAGATAACTCAAATCAACTGGTGAGATAACTTAAATCTACTGGTGAGATAACTGGTGAGATAACTTGGGTTTACTTGCAAGATGTCTCAAATCTACTTAGCAGTATGATGGGATTGCTTAAAAAATGCCCGACAGTATTTACCACTAAACTAGTACTTGTGTGATGTGAACTTTTGTTTGTACAGCTTTACCTCGCTGACTGCGTTTTTCACCCTTACTGTTTTAACTTTTTTCTTAAGTGAGAAGTACTCGTTAATTCTGATACAAATTTGTATCAAGTCATCGGATATCATTGTCATGTACCCTATTTCCCTCAGTCTCTTGAGCCATAAGGCTTGCTTCTCACTTGTAATCCCAGTGCCCTTAGGAGACTTAAAGTCAATTGCGAATCCTGTGTACTCCTCCATAGGATTTTCTATGATGAGATCCAGCTGACCACCTTTATAGCCCTTCTTCCAGGCATCACATCTTTTTGATACCGTATCCTGATACTCCCCAAGACTGGGTACTATTACAGCCTTAGGGTGGTTGTTCCTAATGTAACTCACGACTGTATAATGAAGGTCCGTTTCGTTTATGAGGATCATTTGGTTATGCCTGAGTGACCTTCTATCTGGTAGTGTGTATGGGCCTGGTTTACGGATAGATGGAAGCACCTCAGTGAATACCCAGTCCTGAAAGGCCTCTACTATTGGGAGTCTTGAGCTACATATTAGCTGGTACAAACCGGGTTCGTATAGCAGGATCGTTTGTGGGTGACATTTTTGCAAGAGGGGCGAATCGCCCCCCATGCGGAGCTCCTCTACGCTTACCTTGTTTTGTTTCCTAACTAGTTTCTGAACTGCTTTCTTCGGATCCGCGTACCCTAGTGATTCCGCCACATCTTTTGCATAGAACAGTATACCCTCACCCCACCTCACTGTCCTTACATTAACATTCAATTTCCTATTCTCAAAAATCTGCTCCATCTTCTCTATACTATATGTGTAAAAAATTTTTACTGCATTTACAACAGTAGATTCTTGTATATATTTACAACTGTTTTTATCGTGTCATTTTTAAAAGCTTCAAAGTCATACTTTAGTGAATCCAGAGTTGCCTGAATCTTATCCAGCTGTTCCCTGTTCTTATCAGTTTTCTCAATCAATTCATCAATTATGTCTTCAAATTCTGTTCCTTCCCAGGTGTTTCCCCAGTCGTAGGGTTCTCCGAGTTGGGACATTCTGTATGTAGTAAGATATGTTTAACCTCCTCAGACACTTCCTCAGGTTCCTCCTTCTTATTCCACTTATGGGCAACTACATGTTTAGCTGTTGTACAGCCACCGGATATGAGCCCTATGAATGGGATATTGGGGGATATCGTTCTGGTTAGATATGATACGTCATCCTTCAGAAGCTTGTCACTAAGTAGTTCCTCTGACAGTTTTTCTGAAGATTCCACTGCACCAAAACTTCCTAGTACCGCAGCAAACTTTGAGATAATAAGTGTTGATAAGAAGTCACTTGCACATGACATCCTCTGACTTTCATACTCATGGTATAGTCTATCTACAACATCCTTGTTAGACTTTCTTATAAAACTTGCGGGCTTCTCTATTATACCGTCCCTCGATAGCTCTATAAGCTTATCCCTCTTGCTTTCAGTTTGCGACTTATCTGCGGTAGACTTAGTTTTTCTTGCGGTAGACCTAGCTTTTTTCCGCGGCACCTTTGCGGCCTCCTCTACTTCTCTTACAGCCTCAAATATTTCTTCATCAGATTCGGTTCCCATCATCTATATTTTACGCGGTGTTTAGTTTAACAGTGTATGTGTAAGGGTGAATAAGTAGTACGTCCAGTGCGGTGAACTTTTCATCTTTTAATATCTTCGTAATCTCTGTAATTGTCTCCTGAGGAACACCACTTAGGTAATCATCTGTTATAACCTTCATATCTCTGCGACTAGGGTTGTAGAATGTAACTAGCCTGGAAATGTTCTCTCTAAAGGGCTTCGCTACTGATGACAATTGTTGGGTAAGTACAATGACAGATAGGTTGTAATGTCTTGCGGAGAATGCTAGGCGCACCAGTTCTGAGACTCTTTTCTTTACATCTTGACTTGCAGCACAATCGTCCACTATAATGAGAGTCTGAGTACCGCGGAATATGGTGGACACTGCCTTGAGAACAAAATCGATCATTTCTTGTGAACATGGAATTTGTATAACTCCGTGGTCACTAATATGAGTCCAATTAATGTAAGTCATATTCCACTCTATGGTTGGACAAACAATAACAATGTAATCGAAAACTCTATTGTACTCTGTTTCTAACATATTAAGTAGGAACTGAGTTTTTCCACTTCCTGTCATTCCTACTATGAGCATGTTAAATGGGGGCTTAAGTTGTTGCATCTCTATGCTTTACCATTAGTATTGAATACTTGATAGATCTCTATTTGCGAAGTTGAGGAGAGCATCTGATACAATAAAAATGTTGCACTGAACGTCAGCTGTTGTGGCTCTCTTTTTGATTTCCAGGAGTACTCCCGACTGTGTGTTAACAATCTTCTTACCTCCACCAGTGGTATCATCTTGTGTTGACCTTAGGTCGATTACTAGAGCAAAACCATTGGTGAAGAACTTGCTGATGGACATAAACTCATCTGCCATGGATTTCTCACACATAGGGCAGAAGAATCTTTTTGCCCCTTCGAAGAACCTATTTTTGGGAAGTCCTTGGGAGAAAACTGCATTAGACACACCTTCAATGGTCAGGTTCACTTTATCAATGTTTGGGTAAATATATTCTTCAGAATCAGTTCTCACTCTTTTGGTAAATAGAAGGACAATTGCTGACATGCTCTTCCTGGGGATATTAATGTTCTCATTGACAATGGTAAGATCTTTGTCCCAATTACTTGTACGCATAAGAGTGACGTGTTTGTAGGACAGTGAGCGGCCTGTTGAATACATCCTTGATACTTCACTCGCAAGGGCGTCATTCTCAATGGTCTCGTATTCTAACTCAAGATTATCAAGTTTATAATTATTCTTAGCTTCACCTCCTTGGGCAGTCATAATCTCATCTGATTGCGGGAGTGTGAGGATGTACATAGGATTGTTATTCATGGAGAACGGTGTGTAGAGCCCATGATCTGCAATTATTTTATCAATTGGTTTTCTCAGCTTAGAACCGTACACACTGTGGAGAAGTGCATCTGCTACTTTACCAACATCACCTACCTTTACACCTGAGTCGTCGCCTGATATTAACTTCCTAAGATTCTCACTTGCAAGACCCTGTTCAGTCATCTTATTCCTATCACCTAGTGTTAGCCATAGATCTTTGTATATTTCGTACAAACTCTCTCCTGAACAGTCATAAGCTGTTTCACCTGCTACTTTAATCTGAAGACGTTTAGCTATTAACTTAGACAGGTTGTTATTAAAGCGGCTTTTTGTATTGGAATTTTTGAAGTCAAATAATAGTGCAAACGATCCTGGGACTAAGCAAGAGTCAGGCTTTAGTTTGGGGATGTTAATGTACAGCTATTCACCTGGTCCAATGGTTGTTGGATTAAATGTTACAACACTTCTAGTTCTGGGACCTTTTACGGATATCATACGACTCCTCCTGAAGCCAGGCTGGAGTTCTCTTTCTCTGGTATTCATACTTGTATACAATATGTAATGTTTAGCTGTATTTGTATAGTAAAACTACTACTGCACATACAATGATTATCCATATATTATCCGCTGCTAACTCTACTCCATCGGCTATCTTCTGAAATACAGGTGGTAGTTCTATTTGGTGGCTTACCAACTCACTGATCCCCTTATCGAGCTTTTCTGTTGTGTCACCTACTTTCCACAATATGTTTCTAGTTGATGCTACCAGTCCTATGATTACAGCTGATGAGGAAATTAGAACAGCTGATAAGATGCCTGCATTCTCCCTTGCCCATAACCTGAGCCTCTGCAGTCTCCTACGATCATCCCGTTTAATGAGATCCCTCTTTTTCACCTTATCTCTTAAGTTGAAAAGTTTATTTAAGTTTGACTCTCTTTGGTAATCATTTGATAGCATTCTGACGTATCTCAGTTCTTCCGACTTTTCTTTGAAACTGTCTTCATCCAAATTCGATAGTATTATTTCATTTAACAGTCTGTCTCCCCTATCCATTAGATCATCGTATGACAGATTAGAAAGGTCAGGGAATTTCTCAGCTAATTGCTCTCTCGTAAGGTCTTTGCTTTCATATATTTCCAATATTTTTCTCCTCCTCAGTTCCTGTACGTAATTAATTTCCTCGTTAATATCCTGGGTCTCCTCAGTAGTTTCGCTTTCCCTAAGATCCTTGTCAAAGGATTGGTAATTCGCTATCTAAAGTTTCTACCGGGTGGCCCAAAAAAAAGTACTCCTGTTTGATTCGTAATAACATCTAAACAAGTATAGCTTTTAAAGAGAAATAACTTGCATCAAATAGAGGAAGGACTAACTTAGACTTTGATATATTACAGTTGTATTTCACTTAAAAATTCACGGAGATATTAATCTTTAAATTCGAGAGGATATTTCTGGATGTGTCTGAAATATGCAAAAATCGGCGTATCAAATATTAATCAAGATTTGCCCGACTGAAACATGCACTATTACCAGTAAATAAATGACACTTGACAAATTGCTTATTATGAAACAAAGTATTATTATATCTACAAAATACAAGCAAGATTCATTCGTCCGAAATTCGCGTGTGTTCCTAGCACGAATACGTTTCCTTATTTCATGAGACCACTGCATCGCGAAGGATCGTCATTGGATCGTTCGTAGTTCTGAATTAGGGCATGCTGTCACAACGAAATTGTGAAGCTCTTCTAACTTCTGCAACGTTCTGAAATCTTGTTAAGAACACCCAAACTCTTTTGCCGTTTCTTAATCTTGGCAAGTTCATGGAGTAAACTGAGAATTATATGAAACACAATCAAACCATACAACTCCATAAGACATAACAATTAAGCAACTCCCCAGAGACATGCAACATTTTTGGAACAAAACGTAACAAAATAGTAGCGTTGGTACGGTGATGTGTATTTGCAAAAAGCAATATTATTTCCTTCAATAAAGAATATTCATCCTGCTCTAACCGAGAAATAATCTACTCAGTCTGTTTGAAACCATTAAAAACATAAAAAAATTAGGCTATTTAAGAATACGAAAAATTTAAGCGCCTGCCTTCCATGGTCAGTCTTTCATGTACATTTAAGTTTGCAAAGACCTAATATTAAATACTTGCATAATTTCGAACGTTCATATTTCAGGAAACAATGAGCTAAGACTTACATGTAAGATGACTAAATCTACGCCATATCCCTTACAAACCTTAACGATAATTCGCTGAAATACAAGTTAGCCTAATATGTCATTAAGCAAACAAACGCTGGAGTTAATATTTGATATGCCGATTTTCGCTAATTTTAGACACATTCCAAAATATGCTCCCCATTTTTAACATTAATATATCCGTGAATTTTTAAGTTAAATACAACTGTAATATATCAAAATCTAAGTTAGTCCTTCCTCTATTTAATGCAAGTTATTTCTCTTTAAAAACTTTACTTGTTTAGAAGTTATTACGAATCAAACAGGAGTACTTTTTTTTGGGCCACCCGGTATATCCATTTCTTCATAGTCTGGATACTTTTCCTTCAACTCCTCCATTTTCTGGTCATCGTATTCCTCTTGGTGTTCCTCCATAGCTAATTTACTTTGTGTAATAGTTGTATACCATTAAGGCTGCAGCTATAGCTAATACCCATAAGTGTGACGCTAACCAGGCAATTCCTTTGGCTCCCCATGATAGCGCCGTTGCAATGGTGTTCAGAATTGGAACTAGAATTGGCCCTGCTTTCTTTGCTAAATTTGCTAATGCTTTTGCTACTTTACCAGTGGCTTTTGCTGTCTTCACAATGGCTCCCCTAGCATAGATTAGTAAGGCTGTAATTAAACTAGCTGTTGACAAGTCCCACCTTTTCCTTTCCTACCCAGTCTATAAATCTGCGTAATCTAGAAATATCTTCCAACTGTGCCTCTCTTGCTTCCTCTACTGTTCTCTGCTCTAGTGTTCGATCTCTAGCTTCCTTCAAACTGTCAATTCTTTCTATAAGAGCATTATACTCAGTTGTACCTTCCGCAGAGGTGGCTCGTTCCACGGTTTCACCAATAGCTTCATCAAAGTAGTCAGCTTGTATTTGCAGTGCTCCATTGGGACCTGTTCTGCCTTCTATGCTTGATCCATCAGGTGGGTTAAGAACACCTCTCAGTTCATTGTTTTCTTGCATTGTTAGCCCTGGAAGGTCTCCTAGTTTTACACCTATGTCTATTAACTCCATGTTCTCACGGTTAGCGTATTCCTCATCACTGTCATCAAATTGTGGCTCTTCTTTAGTATCCTCATAAATTGATTCATCACTTCCAATTATATTGTCGGGATCCGTAGGTACCTCTTTTATTTTCTTTAGAAGGTCCTTATATTCTCTCAGAGCAGGTGAGTCCTTTGAGTACACGGGAATCTCGGTCTTACCACGTTTCATTATTTGTGTCCCACTTTTATTAATACCCTGTTCACTTCTAAATACCAACACCTCTGTGCCATTCTTTAGTGTTCTTACAGATGATCGTTTGATGAGTTCCCTGACATATCTATTCCTAGGGTCTAGTATTAGTCCCTCCTTACCCTTGATAACTCTCGCGACAGCTTGAACACGCTCTACTTGGTTTTCGAAATCTCTCTTTTTATTTGCTGTTGAAATCTTATTTAGTATCTCTAGGCGGGCTTCTATTTCATCCCATTTAGTGTCAAATGATTCATTGAATGCATCTAGCACATCTGGAAGTAAATTGTTTGGGTCTTCCACAAAGTCGACTCCTTGAACGGTTGTGCTTCCTGATGGTCCTGAAATGTTCACTGTACCATCATTTCCTTCGGTGAAAGTTGTTTCTGCTATTGCACGTCTCTCCATGAGATTCTTCACATAGTCTAGTTCACTTTTAAGATCAGTTATTACTATAGGGTCATCACCATACATAGCCTCTCCCTTCACCTTTGTATCTAACAAATTAAAAGCTATCGTTAGGTCATCATAATTGAGGTTGTCATATTGAGGATAGGTCTTCTCCGTCTCCTCCAACTCAATGTCATCGTAGTCCTCCATAATACTTTAACTTATGTTAGGGACTTGATGTCTCCAGCTGGTATCCAACTGTTAAATTTGTCATCATAACCTAACCATTTAACTAGGGCCATCTTTTTACCCTTCAATGTTCTTCTTCTTAGTACTTTCTCTATCTTAAAATCAGGTTCCCTTCCTTCAGCGCTATGCAGTTCTTGTTCATAGAATCTGCCAATTATTGGTTCATCAGCACTGTCTTTTATTGTGTATGTGTTTGGATGACCGTGATACACTTCCGTCACAGTGAACAACTCCTCTGTAAAGTTTGCTTCATATCCTTTTGTGAACACTGATTTGTACTTCGAAATTCTAACACTTTCTCCGACAGCAAACTTTGGTTCCGACGGCTTGCCTAAATTGTGACTAAAAAGTGTCTTCCATACTTCAGTCCAATTGGAATCATTTACACTGTCTGGTGTTGCTTTAATTGATCTATTCACTGAACTGTTGTAATTATCAGTTAAGTCTTGAAGGACATCTAACCATTTGTATGTACTGGCACTGTAAAAGTACTTCCACATTAGCGCTTTCAGTGTTCTGTTAAATCTTTCCACAACTGCGGCCTTTTTGTCTGAGTAAGTAGAGAAAAATTCAATGTTATGTTTATTAAGCAATGACTTTACATCTTTGTTGTAGAACTCTGTGCCTTGATCAAACTGGGCGAATTTTGGGTATTTACCAAAACGATTATTAAATTGCTCTAAAATGTTACTGACGGCGTCCTTCATTGATGTCGCGTTTTTCCTATACACTGGTACCGTAAATGCGTACCTACTCAGTATTTCAATGGATGTGAGAATCCATCGGTATCCCTTATTCTTGTCGTCATATTTTGTCATATCAACTAAATCCATTTGTAACTGTTCACCTAAAGTTTGGACGTACGTCTGTCTAAACTTATGTTTCCTAAACACTTGTCTGTACCTTGTGTATGTGTCCTGCTCATTTATCCATTTCTTGACCTGGTTTCTGGTTACTTTAAGTCCGTCTGATACCGCTCTCAGATATAGTTTCTCTGGTGTTTGGAATCCAGTCTTAGGATTGTAGTAAATATCTCGTAGTCCTTGTTCTTTCATAATATCATCGTCCATCTTATATTAACTAATGTAAGCTCACTACTCAAAGTACATCTCGATAAGCACTTCACCTATATCAATAGGTTTCCCATCTTGATCTGTCATGTAGAATACAAGTTCTGAGAAAGAACCCTTGATAACTGAAATCCTACTTTCAACATCAATGTAACTAACTACTGAGCCTAATAATGGTCTGTCTGTTGGAACTGTAACACTTGTTATCACATCGCTGGGTCTTCCCCAAGGGTTAACGTTGTAGCTGTTACTTACCAGATTGCAGTGTATATTTACGTATCGTAGACCGTTATTAAAGTCAACTTTGCTATCACTTGTCAAACTCCTCCCTTTTAGCAGAATCATAGGATTATTAAATCTACTAAAACCTAACATGGTCAGTAATCGTGTTTCTATTGTGATATCTTGTTTTACTGCCTCTATTTGACATCCTGCAGTTTCAGAAAAGTAGGTTAGCTTAACACCGTGTCTTTCAAGTAACTTCTTCATACTGTCAAATGTGTAGTAACCTTTATTAACAATTACATCAGATTCTCCATCATCTGTTTTCACTTTGAGAATAGTTGTTGGTTCCCTTATGTTAAAGTACTCCCAGAATACTGATACTCTCTTCACAAAGACTGATTTATAGTTGCTTGTTAGAACTGAGTTCTGTAGTGATACAACCGTGTGAGAGCTCTGGAGTAAAATTGTGAACTTCATCTTAATAACATACGTTAGGTTATTAAGAATGAGACTAGGTGGAGGAGAAATTGGTAAGTCGCCGTATAGATCGTATCAAGACTATGAAAAAAAGTATGGAAAGGAAGACGGTGAGGATCATGTTGACCCTGTTGCTGGAAAAAAATGCAGAGAATGCTGAGAGGGCTAGATTTATTAAAAAGTACCCTTACGCCGATATGAACAGGTTTAGGTTTGAAGCAAAGTCTACTAGTAGTGGTGATATTGGTGTTGTTACATGGTTTGTTGATTTAGATGGTATATCTTCGTATGATATTAGATATGACGGTTTTAAGAAGGATAAGGAGTTTACATCTTATCTCACCAGCGCTAAGGAAACTGTTGCTCCAGTACAAGCTGACATGGATCAACCTACAACCAAGTGGCCTTCAATGTGGTCTAGTGGTGGTATAGTTCAGGAGATAAGCTTTACTGAGGGTGATCCTGTTATTGGAAAGTATCCTCCTATTACAAAAACTAATCCTATCTCCAACTTTAAGGTTTATGTTAGTAACAGTGAGTTTTTCTATAGTAACCTTCCTAAAATTAGTGATTATATTAGTATTGATAATGTTACACCAAAGTTTAATAGAGAGTTGTCGTATTATGCTGCAATATGTGGAACTTATGTAGCCACGTATCTATGTGGAGTCTCTACTTATCATACAAGTCCTCATAGTAATGTAAATCCTATTATCACATCTATTATGAACTTTCACGTGTACTTATGGATTAGAAGGTTTATTAAAAATCCTAGTTTACTTCAGCAGTATTCTAGTATGTTAGGGGTAATATCTGGCAACATTCCTGTTAAGGGTCAGTGGGAGGTTGATAAGTTTAGTGATAGTCGAGCATCTATTGGAATTGTGTATAGGAGGTTTAAAAATGAGCATAGAACTGTCAGAAATGTTAGGTATGCTAAAAATACATCTGGAATGATAGTTGGGATTAGTTATGATAAGCTTACAGGTATGTCTTCCCTTGCTAGTCTAAATGATTATATGAGGTATTACGCAGACAAAAGCGTGGGTCTTGTTGATACCTCACTTTTACAGGAAAGCTTGCAATGTTATGTATACTGTGTCCTTGGAGCTCAAGCTAATACTCGGTGGGCTATAGTAAACCGTGGAACCTCCTCTTTACTGTCTCAAAAAGGATTCCGTAAACTTGTAGAAGATGTTGTAGTTCAAACTGATATTTCAGTTGGAATCACTAATATGAGAACGGCAATTAGAGATACTAACGCAATAGTAAATACAGCAATAAATCCTGACATTATTTTATTTCCATCAAATCTGGTAATATTAAAGGATCCCATTCCCGGTTATAATAATATTCTACTTAAACCTAACTCTAGTGTTAAGTTTGGTGTAAATACTAGAGTAAATTATGTAGGTGTTAAGAAAGCTGATCCTCCAAAGAAGCAACATCAGAATACAACACCTGTTAATCACCTTGATACTCTTAGTGGACATGTAAAACGGGATGCAACCCTTGATATTCTTAGTGGACATGTGAAACAAAATACAACCCCCGAGGCAAGCAACTTCTTTCGTAAGTCTATAGTTAATAGTAATGAGTCTTCAGAATCTAGCGCTATTGCTGGAGTTGGGATTGGTGCTACAGTTGTATTTATTTTAATGAGAATGTTTTTGTAAACATTGTGTATGTTATAAAAATGGCTCTCTATAAGGGATATATTAAGGGTGTAAATAATATTGATCCAACAACTGGTAGTGTGTTTGATAAGGATGGATTTACCATGAAGGGTGACATTGAGATGGATGGTAATGAGGTGAAGGGTTTAGGTGCACCAACAGATGATACGTCTGCAGTCACAAAAAAGTGGGTAGATGATGAGATAGTCAAACAGGCTTCTGTTACAATTAAACCAGTAGGGTTTACAATGACTGGGAATATCAACATGGGAAATAATAAGATAACTAATCTTAAGTCCAATGGGGGTGACTTCAGTGAGGCGGCTAATGTGCAGTATGTGCACACGTATGCATGGAACAACTATCTTGCCACAAATGGCTTCAATAAGATGAAAGGTGTACTGAATGCTGGTGGATTTGAAGTACAGGGGCTTACCACAACTGCAAGTAGAAGTGATAGTGCAGTGTCGCGTTTCTATTTATATCAGTGGTCAAATAGTAAGTTCCTACCACTGGACGGTTCGAGCTCTATGTCAGGTAATATTAGCATGGCACGAAATAGTAACACTAGGTGATCCTACAACTGGCAAGTCTGCAGTTCATAAGGACTGGGTAATTAGCATGTTAAATAAGCCTGTAACTGGACTTGATATTGCTGGGGACATTAATATGAAGAACCATGAGATTAAGAACTTAGCTGATCCTACAGACAACAAGTCTGCTGTTAGCAAGGGATGGTTTAATTCAAACACCAGCAACTTCCTTAAGCTATCTGGTGGTAACAATCAGTTTATCCGCGGTGATGTTCTTTTTGATGAAGTTCCGCATACAAGTAAGGATGCCTCCACTTCAAGTGGTCTTATAAGGAAAGCTCTTCTGGATAAAAGTCTGGCCTATTACGTTCATCGTAACGGTTTGAATGCAATGACAGGTGATCTTAGGATGGGTGGACATGAAATAGTAAATCTTAAGGATCCAACTACTGACCAGTCTGCTGTTACAAAAAAGTGGGCCACTGATAATAATTTTGTTAATCTTGGAGGTCGTATGTTGGCTGATATATCAATGGCTGGATACAGACTTTTCGGACTACCTGACCCTAGGATTGATAATGAAGCTGTTTCAAAAAAGTGGGTAGAAAATAAGATATCTGCGCTTGATTCAATATATGCTAAATCTTCAGGTTTTACAATGACAGGTGCTCTTAAGATGGGTGGAAATAAAATTGAAAATATAGGTGACCCTAGTTCAAGTACATCTGCTGTTAGCAAAGGGTGGGTTACATCAGGATTCACTTTAAATGGTGATCTAACCGTTGCAAATGGTAATTCAATCTATACGATCAACAACCTTGGTGCAAAAATAGCTGTTCCCAATATTCAAACTGTGGTTAACCAAATTTCACGCTTTTCCCTAAAACTGGACGGTTCAAATGAAATGACCGGTGTTCTCAAGATGGGTGGAAATGAAATTAAAAATATTGGGGCTCCTAGTGCCGATACATCTGCTGTTAACAAAAAGTGGGTAGAAGATAAGATTAGTGGAGGTAGAAGTAAGCGTGAGACTTATAGTGGTCTTACTCTATCTGACAACCTTGATATGGGAAACAATGAAATAATAAAATTAGGTGCTCCTACAACTGATAATTCTGCTGTTTCCAAGAAATGGGTCACCGATCATGTCAGTGGGAGTTCAGTTAGTAGTAGCGGCTTCACTATGACAGGTAATATTGACATGGGAGGTAATAGTATAACAGGCCTTAGTAGTGGGTCAGCTGGGGATTCAGCTGCAGTTTCCTATAAAGCTATGGGCTTATGGTGTAAGCAATTTCTGAAGCGTGGTGGTGGTGTTTTGTCAGGTAATCTTGATGTTAACGATTATGAGTTAATTAGGGTTGGAAATCCTACAACCGACGGTTCCGCTGTTAATAAGAGGTGGGCAACTGATGAGTTCATGAGTAGTAGAGGTGGACTGGTAAAAGGTGATCTGGATATGGGAGATTCTAGTGGTATTCTCGATCTAAAGGATCCTGTAAATGATAAGGATGCTGTTAACAAACAATGGGTAGAAAAGAATTTCCTAAAACCTTCAACTGGTCTTACTCAAGCAACGGCTGACTTAAGATATGTAAGAACACGGCGACATATACATGCAGAATGGGTTTGGGGTTATCGCGGTGTTGCAGTTGCTGCAACAAGGTACTACGCTTACTGTCAAGATCAGATTCCACCTTCATGGAGAACAGATCCTATTAATAATATGACAGACCTCAACCTTGAGTCAATAACTATTAAAACAGACTCCCCAATTTTTTCAACCGTTCTGAATATACCTATAGGGCTCATCCTGTGGGCTACCGTTTGGGAAAAGCAATCTAATGGAAAATTTACCCAGGTTAGGAAGGAAATTGTTTTTGCTACAATTGACCTAAGAAGGTTGTCCTACACTTGGTTCAATGGAACTTTCACAACTACTGGTGGAAGTACAGCTTGCTATGTTTTCAAGGGTAATAGTATGTTCTATTTAGGAAACGAAGCTGAGCTGGTAGATAACACGCTAGCCTGGTGTGTCATAGTCAAACCAGAACACTCAATGCCCATTGGTATGAGTATGGATATGTCATTCTGCTGGTCACTTCGATATTCAGGGTCCGGAAGTTAACATGTGTTGTATCATAGGGTAAAATGTCAAAATGGAGGTCATGTTTCTCCTGCTTGGGTAAAATTTGTGGCTGCCGTAAGAGTTCTAGTAAGGATAGGAGGGCTGGTGATATAAATTTCTCTGTATCAAATAATATTAAGGTTGAGGTGACCACACAGGGTAAAAAGGATGACGCCAACAGTGTATCCGGACTGCAAGGGCCCCCTGCCTTGTGTACCCTCAAGGAGGAAATAAAAGATGTTAAAAAGGCTTTGGAATAGGAAGGTTGGACGATATCGGGAAAGTGTAGGATAATCGTATTAGAGTCTCAGCTTTGAGATAAGTTAAATGAAAAACAAGAATAGCAGTTTCACATTCTAATAAATGTACCAACCATTAATTCTAATATAATAAAAATAAATTCTTTTAAATAAAGATAAAAAACTAGTGGTCTAGAAAAATTGCCAATGGTCTAGAAACCTCAGTTCCTATACTACTGAGGGGTGTCCAGGCAAGTGGAGGAAACTGGAAAGGGATTCTCTACATCAACAAACTTGTCGTTGAACAGATTGGCTAGAGCAGAGCCAGTATAAGGCTGCTCGTCATACCCAAGGGTAGAAACATTTTTAGGTGGAGCAAGGCCAGCAATGTTTTTATAGTAGACCACCTGCCTCGTCCCCAGTCGCTAATAAAAAAATTTCATGCGAGTCACTATATGAAAGGTTTACATGAAGTAGTGCATCGCGACGAACAAGCGCAGGGGTTTACGCTCATATCCCATTCCCCTTTGTGCACCTATAATGTGACGCACTACTTCATATAAACCTTATATAGTGACTTGTATGTGAAATCGTTTTATAGCGCCTGGGGACGAGGCAGGGTCAATATCATCTGTAACTTAGCAGTTGCTAAAGACCATACCTTTGTTGCATAGCACTTTGTTGCATAGCATAGACTTATATATATAGGGGTTGCCTTACTTTGCTGTTTTCAATAAGGGGACATGTCCTTTTCAAAAGACCAAGTATTTTATTAGCTTTGCTCATGATTGAGAATATACGGATATCCCATGATAATTAGTTAACTTGGTTACTTTGTATTTGTCATTATACGGAGGTCTTTTTCTTCTTGAACTTGTTGTAGAGTTGCATCGCCCAAATAATAATTAGTAACTACAGGTGATTTCTTTGGTTAACTGTTAGAACTTTACAATTATTATACAAGCCTAAAATTTCATGTTTGAATTCTGACACCAATAATTTAAACGTAACTAATTTTCTCGCCACAGGCTCTCGCAGTCACTCATGGATGAATTACAGCAGTCTGCAGATCGGAATAAAATTAATCAGGTAGGTCACTGACAAAATGACAAATAGCAGAGGTCCAACAATGCCCAGAAGTAACAGGTAGGTACTAAGAAGTTACGCCATTAATCACAACGCTTTGAGACCTATTTACTAAGATAAACAGTAAACCAATGAAATTAGCACCTCAAGTCCTGTATGATTGAGGGTGTTGATGGGGTATATTGTGAGTTGTGATTGTTCAATTTCGATTACTGTTAGTCGTGAAAACACTAAAAATTTTACTGTGAAGCGTGAGGAAAGAACAACTTTTCAGCAGATTCAAAGATTCACCATTATAAGAGCAAAATTTGTACTGTTAAAATACCAAAAGTTTTAACGTTTACTGATTTTAACGTTTACTGACACCCCCCCCACCCCCCCCATCTAGACCCTCCTGTATATATGAATATGCGGAGGAGGAATGAGGGTTTTCCCAAAATGCAATGCGCGCCTCAATGCAGCTCATTATTATTAAATAAATATTTTGAATAATAATGAGCCACATTGAAGCGTGTGTTGCATTTCGGGAAGACCCTCATTCTTCCTCTGATGAATATGCATGCCTATATATAGTCATTGACACTGGGAGACTGAGCTGCCAACAAAGTGAAGTCCTGAAATAATAGTTTAATGAGAGGTACCAGTATCAAAAGCCGCGTTCACACTAGCGGCCCAGGCCTGGCCTGGACCTGGCCTGGGTCTAGGTGTGAACGGGTTTTACCTGGCCTGAGCCTGGCCTAGGCCTGGCCTAAGTCAAGAAATCCAGGCCAGCAAATGTAGGTGGCCTGGACCTGGCCTTGGCCTGGCCTGGGCCTCGATCATCACTGGTGTGAACGGGTTTTTCCTGAGCCTGGCCTGGGCGAGGCCCCGTTACCATCGCAATATCTGCCCACGAAAAAAACTGGTCAGATGATTGTCATACAATTGGAGGGAAAAACATTCAAAACGCAAAATTAAATACTTTAGTGGAACACAGGGACGTTTATATTGACGCCTGATTGCTTTGGCCTGGAGTTGGGCGTCAAGCCAGTGTGAATGCGTCACAATTGGCCCAGGCCAGGTCAAGGCCAGGTCCAGGCCAGGCCTGGGCCGCTGGTGTGAACGCGGCTAAAATGTAATTTTTCTATAACCTTGCAGGCTTGCACTCCTGTAGACAGTTTTGTAGACATTATATTAATTAAACACTTACTTTCACCACAATGGCATGTAATGTTATTAAAGACATTGTGATCACCAACATATAATTGTCCACTATTTTCTTTTATATTAACTAATAAAAATAGTAAAATGGAAAATACAATCAGAAAAAAGCTTGGAATAAAACAATATATTAACTACTTATGATAAATAAGAGTTAAAGAGACAATCTCAGAATCTGTCGGTATTTAATACAATTATGACGAAAACCAATTTCTCTGAAGCTCTTGAATGAAGCATAATTTTATTGTTACCGTTTTATACTCCGCGAATACCTGTACGTTTACAGATGATTTTATTGCAAATAGTACAGTACAGTGTTCAGGAAATAGCTCTAATGTTTAAAATCAATTTCAAGTAAATCGTTTCAAGATTTCCAACATGCTAAACGGCGATTTCCTGTTATGCATGGATTAAATATTTATTACATAGTTTTTAAATCCTTCGCATATAAACAGGCAAGTTACAGATTAAACCAGCGTGTTACAGATAGTCGTTAATCGCTACATATCTACAATATTTATTAATCATGAAACGGATTTGTTTCATTGCAGTATTCTTCAAATACCGTTTATACGGGAGTCGACAATATATGCAACTACGCAATATATATAATGTAGCAAATATTAATCTCCCAATTTATACATTTATAAAGAATTCCACTCAATCCACTACAAAAAATATTATAATTTCTTACCATTCATTCTGATCAGCCATCCAAAAGACCAATACTTTAAGGAAAAGTGAATATTTCATGTAAATCATATTGCGTTTGTATTAATACTATATTAAAAGACAAACAACCATTGTACCGATTGTACGCAATCTCGTTCCCTGAGCCTGCGATCGTCGGGAAGGAACGCGAGGCTCTGGGATAATCCGTTGCCGGTGTCACAGTGATATGAGTATCCCCGTGTTTTGTGTATCCCCTACTAATATCACTAGGGATATGTGTATCCCCATGCTCACCTCACTAGGGATATATGTATCCCCAGCAATATGGCGGTCGTGTTTTGCGTATCCCTAAAGAACCACCCTACATTCCCACATCACTAGGGATACAAGTATCCCTAACATTTCGCGGGAAATAAAACATGCAGAACTGCACATACAAGCTTGAAAATAACACTCTAAATAGTGTGTTGGATTGTGTTTTGAACAAGACTAATACCAAAAAGATATGTTGAAAGGGGCCGAAGTTATATTCGGCGAAAGGTATGGCTTAGTGATGCATTGTTTACATTCTTCGAGTTTATTGTATATAGTATGGTATGGTTAGTTTACATTGTTCAAGTATGCATAGTTTATAATTTATGGCTATTTTACATTGTTCGATTTCATAGAACTTTTCAAGCGGATTTTTTTGGTGGTACTTTCGTATTTCTACTGCAAATACTCGCGGAGTTCTGTAATATTTAAACTTCCTGTCATATACGTCGGAAATCAAGTAATACGGAGCCATATGAGTTAATGTTAAGAGTAATTCTACACTATGTTCTACACCAATTTATGCGACGCGAACATGCTATCTTACAACATAAGCACAATCACATTATACACATTTACTGCAGCATTTAATAACTGTAAAAACGTAAATACTTAATACCGGAAAATAAAGGCACAGATAAATGACTTTCCTCCTGCTCATATTTTGAATATTGCATCCTTTCGCTCCTAGTGATGTAGGTATCCCTACCGGGGGTACTTTTATCCCTAGGGATATTAGTGTGGGGATACACAAAACACGGGGATACTCATATAACTGTGACACCGGAAGCCAGGAATTCTGGCTAAGATTAAACTACGCATTCCATTTCAATGGCCAATCAGATTCCTCCCTGAAACGGATTATCCCAGAGCCTCGCGTTCCTTCCCGAGGATCGCAGGCTCGGGGAACGAGATTGCGATTGTACGCAGAGGACATCCTCGTACCCAGGGTCTTTTTGGGAAAGACCCTGGTATTGGCATAGAGATTATAAATAACACTAGAGGAGGCATCGAGTTTAAAAATTGGGAACGCAGCTAATGGGGGGCAAATTCAAGTCCCGGATATAAAATCGTGCTCTCATTGGCTGATTTGAAACTCGTCACCAATAGGAACACGAATACACATCCGGGACTTGAATTTGCCCCCCAATAGTCGCGTTCCCTTTTTTTTACTGAATTAAGATTACAATGCCTCCTCTAGTGTTATTTATAATCTCTATGGGTATTGGCTGGTCACGTGACTCTACAAAAATTGATTGCCCAAGGGGGAGTGGCAAAGTATCAAATTACATGCTTCCACAGAAAACGTTAAATTTCAAATACCAGCAGTGGGATTTTACGATATATACTCGAAGCGCCCGCTAACTTCTATTTTATACCTTCGTTTGCTTTTAAATTACAAAAACACTGTAGCATTTTATCAACAGTCAAGTCAAGAAACAAATAAAATGTATACTTTAAACTTTGAAGTTGGGTATTCTCTTGAAACATATTTTCAAATCAAACTGGTCAGTCGTCAACGTTTGTACATTTTCACTATCTGTTCCGAAAATATGCCATTAGATTTGTTGTTTGAAAACGTTGATAAACTTTGTGCAGATTTACTAATAGTACGCGTCTCATTTCATAGACATAGTGAAGGTTGATAAAATTGTGAAATGTAATTAACTTTTTGTCACAAATCACAATGTAAACATGTGGACACTGCCGAACAGAGACTGAATGCTCACTTTAAAACTGTCGATGGTTTATCCTTGAAAATACTTTTAATTAAATAGTTCGTCATATTTATTAAAAAGCCCTGTAGATCGGTAGGGTAGGAGGCAGGTAGTAAAGTACAACAATTTTCAGCTAGCTCAGGGCGTGTATCATCTGGTGGTATTTTTTGGCCTCCATAATCTATTTTTATATTACTGAACACTAAAACTATAGGGGCCTCGTCTTAAAAGTCCAGCAGGATTTCCAGAGGTCTCTAGCCCGTTTATATATTCTTAAATATTCAACTTGTAAATATTATTTGTGGGTAAATAAAACTAATAAAATAAAATAAATAATAAATAAAATAATACGTTATCTTCTGTTCTGGATCGCCACGCTCCGCTGAAGAGGAGAATTGTTACCTCTAGCGCTATGGTACCATGGTATGAAGAAGGAAAGCTGAGCGGAAATGGCGGACTACAAAAAAGACGGCAGATTTTAATAAATTTAAATCATTGAAAAACCATTGTACTCAATTAATGAGGAAAGCAAAATGCTCCTTTTTCTCTGACTTTGTCAAAGAAAACATCAATAACCAAGGGACTCTATTCAAAGCCACTCTCCTCCGCAGAGCCTTACGAATTTTTAGTAAAATTGCGTAATATTAAGGGGGGGAGCACAAATTATGCAAGGTATCCTTTACTATCCCTACAAATCCTATATAATTCAGACTCTGCGGAGGAGAGTGATTCAAAGCTATCAAAGGAATGCTAGTTGAAAAAAATGCAATAAGTTTCCCCGGTGTCACAGCGGATTTGGACCCCCCAGTAGATTTGGACCCCCCGGTCCAAATCTCCTAGTAGATATGGACCCCCCGGTCCAAATCTCCTAGTAGATATGGACCCCCTTTAGCGGATATGGACCCCCGTTTTTTAAACACTTTTATATACTAAAAACAACCCCAATAACGGTGTTCCTCTTCTGGTCTTTGTTGTAAGAATTGGGGTACTCGTTGTCGCGAAGATAATGAAATACTTCTTCGTACGCAGTCAAATCAGCCATTTTGCGTTAAACAGAGATTATAGTTCTATTCGCATTGAAATCGCGAATGACACTAAAACATTTATATAGCTGCAAGGCAACTGATAAGTCATCACTTATTGTTTAAAAATATTCATGGAATCGCGTTGCTCTAATATGCTATTTCTATGGCTTTTGTTAAAAAGCCCATTAGCAAAGACTCACAAACATCACTTATTGTTTAAAAATATTCATGGAATGGCGTTGCTCTAATATGCTATTTCTATGGTTTTTGTTAAAAATCATTGGTGGATGGTCACAGGCTTCCATTTAGATGAGTCACCACCACTTTGATTGTTCAAAAACATTCATGAAAATCGTGTTTCGTGTCGATCCAAATGCCATTTCTATCGCTTTTGTTAAACAGTGATTCGTTATTGGCAAATACTATACATAGATTTTAGTCACACTGTATTCTATTTTCCTATGATAAAATACTTCAGATTGATCGCTATTATTAATTTGGTTTATATTATTGTGTTCACATTACATATATTTAACTTTTGAAGGGGGGTCCAAATCCGCCAACGGGGGTCCGTATTTACTAGTAGATTTGGACCCCCGGGGGTCCATATCTGCTAGGAGATTTGGACCGGGGGGTCCATATCTACTAGTGGATATGGACCGGGGTCCAAATCTACGGGGGTCCAAATCAACTGGGACACCGGACGTAATGAAACAGCTCTCGTTAACGAACTTGGCAAATATTTTGTTCAGAAAATCTCTAATATCCACTCTGAGATAAACAACGAGATTTCTTCACATAATGATGGTCACGTAGATCCTCCAAGTGATGACAACGAGGAGTATCCGGGTGATGTATCGCATTTTGATGCGTTCGAGCCCTTGTCTGAGGATGATGTTAGAAAGCTTGTTGTGGACTCACACAAAAAATCCTGTTACCTTGATCCAGTACCAACAGATTTCTTGGTGAAATGTCTGGATATGTTACTTCCTGTGATTACAAAAATAATCAATATTTCACTTGAAACTGGGTACTTTCCTAGAGACTGGAAGGAAGCTATCATTCTTCCCAGATTAAAAAAGTCTGGGTTGGAGTCTGCATTTGAAAATCTTCGTCCCATCAGTAATTTAGCATATATTTCAAAGCTTATTGAACGAGCAGTATATAATCAAACGCACGATCATATTCTTCGATGTGGCTTTTATCCAGTTTTGCAATCTGCTTACCGGCGGTATCATTCCACAGAGACTGCGTTACTCAAAGTACTCAATGATATTTTGTTAAGCATGAACAGTCAACGTGTCACTCTCTTGGTTCTTCTGGACCTAAGTTCCGCTTTTGACACAATTGATCATGGAATTTTGCTGGAACGGTTAAGGTCAAAATTTGGAATACGTGGAAAAGTTCTCAGTTGGTTTTCTTCCTACTTGTCTGGTCGAAGTCAACGTGTTATGCTAAATGGTACCCTATCTGATTCATCTGATTTGAACTTTGGTGTCCCGCAGGGTTCGTGTTTGGGGCCTCTTCTTTTTATATTATATGCCTCCAAACTGTTCGATATTATTAACAATCACTCGCCAGATTCACATGGTTTTGCTGATGACACTCAGTTGTATGTGTCATTCAAACCTGACTACCCATGCGATCAATGTGAAGCGATCTCGGTAATGGAAAGCTGTGTCAACGATCTTCGGAAATGGATGATTCAAGATAAATTGAAACTAAATGACGGTAAAACTGAACTGCTAATAATTGGATCTAAGCAACAACTGGAGAAACTTAACCCATGCCATGTACGTGTCGGGAATGCCGATGTCATTCCTGTACCAATAGCTCTTGATCTAGGAGTTTGGCTTGATTCAAATTTATCAATGTCATGTCATATAACAAAGACATGTGGTGCCGCATTCTATTGGCTTCACAACATCAAACGCATCAGCAAGTTTTTATCTCGGGAAAATCTGTTGACTGTAATACATGCCTTTGTTACAAGTCGACTAGATTATTGCAATGGTCTCCTGTATGGTTTACCTAATACTGAATTGATTAAGTTGCAGAGGGTTCAGAACGCCGCTGCAAGATTAATGACTTCAACACGAAAATACGATCACATTACACCTATATTACGTGAACTACACTGGTTACCTGTGAAGTTCAGGATCCATTTTAAACTGCTATTGCTTACTTTTAAAGCTTTACATGGAATGGCTCCAAAGTACATGGCAGATCTACTTGTTGTCAAAGTGGAAGGAAACGACCTTTTACGCTCTAATGATAGCATAATGCTAGAGTTCCCTAAGGGTAAATTTTTACGGTCATTTGGCGACCGATCTTTCACTGTGGCAGCTCCGAAACTTTGGAATGAACTTCCGAAAGAAATTCGTGACATTTCGTCAATAAGCGTTTTTAAAACTTGTCTTAAGACTCATCTTTCTAAACTAGCTTTTAGTATTTAGTTTATATTAAAGTTAACATTTCAACATTTTATTACGCTTTTAACATTAGTTATATTGTAATACAGCGCTTTTGATCATTATATGTAAAAAGCGCTTTATAAATTATTAAATTATTATAATTATTATTATCTTAAGGGAAGATAATCAAGCAGTTATATAGTAGTGAAGAGTATAGCATTGAATGTAGCGAAGGTAGTAGCGAAGGTAGCGAGGGTAGCGAAGGTAACAAGGGTAGCGAAGGTAGCGAGGGTAGCGAGGGTAGCGAAGGTAACAAGGGTAGCGAAGGTAGCGAGGGTAGCGAGGGTGGCAAGGGTAGCGAGGGTAGCGAAGGTAGCGAAGGTAACGAGGGTAGCGAAGGTAGCGAAGGTAGCGAGAGTGGCGAGGGTAGCAAAGGTAGGGAGGGTAGCGATGGTAGGGAGGGTAGCGATCAATCAATCAATCAATCAATCAATCAAAGCTTTATTTAAACACCGTGAAATCTAATCTATGAGATTATGACCAACATATAATGTGGTTATCAGTGCCGTACCGACTGGTAAATCCAGGTAGATTTGCAGAAGAAATTCAGGTAAATGAAAATAAATTCAGGTAATTCCTGGCCCAGAGAAAGTGAATTTACAAAAATAATTGTGAATTTGGAAAAGAATGAGGTAAATTTACAAAAATTTTAGAAAATTATAGGGGGAAGTCATCATCACAAAAAAAAATTTTCAGGTAAAAAAACATTTTTTCAGGTAAATTTGGAAATTTTGATACTTTCAGGTAGATTTAACAAAACACCCCCCCTGAAGCGAGTCCCTCGGGACGGCCCTGGATCCCCCCTTGCCCCCCCTTAAAATATGCTTCGCTTCTAAATATTTGGAAAGTTTAAACCAGGATCAAAGTTATCGGTCAGTGAAAATCGAAACGTCGCGTTGTCGAATCGCGTCCGGTGTGTCTGGACCTTAAGGCTGATTTCCACAGTTGTGTTTTTCGTACGCACGTACACGCACGTAAAACTTTGAATCCTTCTATTTTTTAAATATTTTACAAATAAGTTAACAAATGCATACTAAAACTTGCGGAACACTAAATTCTGTTGCTTTATTTATTTGGTTATTTCATTTTTCCCGAGGTCTCAGAAATTTCAAGTAACATTTAAACGGATTTAAAGTTTTACGTGCGTATACGTACGTATGAAAAACGCAACAGTGGAAATCAGCCCTTAATGCTGCCACGCCATGATTCGTCATTAAAATACTGACGCTATGGTCATGCCAGTGCGCTTACGAGAGGCAATAGGCAGATTTAGATCGAGGACGCGGACGTCAAAGACGACGTGAAAATGGCGTGCATGTTGTGCCCATGTATGGATATGCCACGCCATTTTTACGCCATTTTCACGTCGTCTTTGACGTCCGCGTCCTCGATCTAAATCTGTAACGTTAAAACATGAGTAACGTTAAAAGACTGGGTCAAGAATGTTGATTGGTTGATAACGTCAAATTTGCTTCCGGTCAAAGTTCGTGTTGTCAAAAACGTCGCTTGCTTAAGCTCGCTATTCCCCCTAGACATCCGCCATTTTGAATATTACCAGGAGGGTGAATGCCTTTCATACGCGCACTGACTGGCTCATTGAACTATACCGTATTTACTCGATTGAGCGCCGCCCCCGATTGAGCGCCGCCCCGAATGAGCGCCGCATTTGAGATCAAATTTTCTTAAAGAGCGCCGCCCCCGAATGAGCGCCGCACTAATTATTTTCAAATGCGGCGCTTAATCGGATCCCTTTCAATGCGACGAATTTACGTCTTCTGAAGTCGAGGAGGCAGGCATATCCAACAATGGTTACGATGCAGCAGTTGGACTCGGATCATGAAGAGGACAGTGACATTGATATTTTGTAAACTTGTAAACAGTGTAAAAGCTTTCCGCCATCAAAATGGGGACATTTAGTGACCAAGACATTTAAAACTTGTTTATTTTATTGTTAAAAGTTCTTGTTATAATTCACAAATAAAATATTTTTTAAAGAGCGCCGCCCCCGATTGAGCGCCGCCCCCGAATGAGCGCCGCATCTGAAGCTCTAAAAATTTAAAGAGCGCCGCGGCGCTCAAACGAGTAAATACGGTAAGTAAACTGGAAGGCTAACTCGGGGAGGATTGAAGTCAGTGCATTTTAGTTTCTCTGAGTTATGAGCAGAAATCATCAACACTGAACGTTGTGCTGTATATGAAACTGATCAGAAGCTATTGAAAAACTCTATTTGGTGTAGAAATTTCAAGACTTTAGCTAAAAGGGAAATATTTATTAAAAAACTACAAAAATCTCGACAAAAATAATTGTCGATAATTTGCCATTTTTTGGCCGAATTGCAATTGTTTTTGTATTTTTAACAGATTTTTCTTTTCGCTGAAGTCACCTTGAAATTTCCACACCGAATAGCAATTTTCAATACCTTCAGTTTGATATATAGCCCAACGTTTGGGATCAAGTATTTCTGTTCTGGCATAAGAAAAACTATTTTGGCTTTAGCAAATCATAGGCCTTCATCATAGTTAGCCTTCCAGTTTACTTATAATTCAATGCACTGGCTAGGACCATGACGTCAGCATTTTGATGACGAATTACGGTTACGCCGGCCAAACCCATAGGAAAAACCAAGCGGTCAGACTTCTGTATAGTCTCTATTCTGTGCCGTTTCAATGCTGTCGCCATGTTCCTAACCCAGATTCCTAGATTCCTAACCAGTGCCAGAGGCGTAGCCAGGATTTTTGGTCAGGGTGGGCCAGCAAAAACCCAGGTGGGGCCGAAAAAAATTTGCGGACCACAACATTTTAAATCTCTCCGACAACCCCCCCCGTCGACACCTTTTTTGGTAAAAAAATTTCGGACATCACAATCGCTTACGTAGCACTTTTCCCGATTGCCGTATCACTTTTTCCGATGCTTCACCACAAAGATTCCGACAACATTGACAATTTTCCGACGGCCGTCTCAACTTGAAGCTATATAATCAAGGATTCTTTTTTTATTGCTGCGTAGCGAACGAGCTTGAAGCGAGCGAGCGAAGCAGCATTCTAATATGTGCAGAGAGGGGGTTTTGAAGTAAATTTTATTTAGCGCATTGTATTGTGGTCGTGTGCGCTTGCTATACGCAGAACGCAAAATAACGTACGACATACAATATTTGAGGTGTATTTGAAGGATATCGTTTAGGGGCCGACCATTTAACTTTTGAGGGGGGGGGGTGATTTACTGCTGACAGGGAATTTTTTTTCTGGGATTGTTATGTGCAAGATATTTTTTTATCACCATCACCATGTACGATTTTTTTTTTGCCACACTTTCTTTCGCAGCATTTTTTTTTCAATAGCTTATACTATTTAGATTATAGTTAACGTTGAGTTTTTTAGCTTCATGCATTGCTCTTAATAATACATTTTGCTATGAGCCGATAACATTTGGTTCAGTGCCTATTTTAAGGATGTGCAACTGGAGAGGACATAATTAGCGGGGGACCTGGAGAAGTTCCAGTCGGCAAGTCTGTATCCAGGGCCGTAGCTAGCATGTATAGTTGGGGGGGGGGGAGGGGGTGTAGGCCAAAAATTTCCGAATGACGAAAATAATTTCCGAATATATCATGGCATACTATTAGCCATGAAGGTGTTTGCTATTCGGAAAATGAAGACGCAATTTACAATTATCAAAAATATGCATAATTTACGCACAGACATATTACAGAAGCAGTGCGGTAGGGAGCTTTTGTTTATTGGGGGCAGAAACCACCCCCAATACCAACCTTGCTACAGCCCTGTCTGTATCACTGCAGCTACCTACAGCATATATATGCATGGTTTAACTAATAAGTATACGTCATAGGGCAGCAACAACTGAGTCGACCACCGAAGGTGCGAGCCTCTAGAGGGGTCTGGGGGCATGCCCCCCCCAAAAATTTTGGATTTTTTGAAGCTCAGATAAGCTATTTTCAGCATTTTGAGGAGTTTTCCAAAAAGAAATTAACCTTACACCAGTCCCTGAAAATCAAACCAGCTGATCTTCTGGGACTGGTCAAATCGATCCCTGCAACCATGCTGTTTTGCAACATTTTTTTTCCCACCAAATACTGGGGCAGGATATTTTTTCCCCAGTTTGTTAGTGCAGGTATTTTTTTTTGTCCAGAATAGCCTTGCAGGAATTTTTTTTTCAAAATCACCCCCCCAAAAGTTAAATGGTTGGCCCCTTATTAGTATTTTTGCACAAGTGAACATAACAAATCCTACAAGGTGATTGGTCAAATTTGACGATTATATTCACCTTATATTCGAAATTTTCAAAATGGCGGCTAGCCATTTTGTTGAAGTTAGTGATAAAGAAATAAGCGAAATTAAAATGAATTCAGACAGGAAAACACAAAAAAACTTGTGCAAAAATACTAAAACAATTATTCGCCTCAGGCTCGGTGATTATCGGGAAATATTCACCTCGACTTCGTCTCGGCGAATATTCCCCGATAATGGCCTCGCCTTTGGCGAATAATTGTTAATTGTTTTGCTTGCTTCGACTTGTAAATTATTTTGACTCAGGCACTCAGCGTAAGGTTTAGTAAAGTTTCAAGCCCTGTATAAAGGCCACAATTTAGTGTATAAAATAACGTGACTGCACTTCGTGCGTTGTTCACTCAATGGACTTTGACCACTGTAAGTTCTATATTTTAATTTATTATAAAGTTTTGGTTTCTAGTTTAATACTGTGTATACAATGTGGTAAATGCGCCTAGCAGTATTAGACTTAATAATATGAAATCAGATAGCAAAAACATGTGTTCTATAATTCATCTGTACGCATGGGCGTACCGGAAGGAAAAAATTAGGGGGGCGGAAAGAAAATTGCCCGACTTTTCGTAAAATTGCCCGACTTTTCGTGATTGTGCCCGGCTAGTACCAAACATTTTTCCTGGAAAAATTATTTTGGCGACCCCCAAAAAAATTTCGGTCAGTGTACCATTTAAGGGGTCAAAAAATTTCGGAGCATCACATAAATTTTCAAAAAAACACTACATTGGCCACAAAATTGACTAAATTTTCGAAAAATTGACAGAAATTGTCCGATTTATTTTTATAACAAACCAAAATTGCCCGACTGTTAATCGAATATTGCCCGACTGCCCCCCCCCCCCGGTACGCCTATGTCTGTACGTTTTAAGAATGCTTTGTCGTTTGTATTTATACGCGTACTAGAGCAGCGCTTATTAAATTCAACAAATTCCACTTGATCTTGAAAATATTATATATTCTTTCTTATGATTTAGTGAATATTACTTCCATAAACATTAACACGCCTATCTGTAATCTGTGAGTGCTCTTGAACCCGTGCATGGTCTTGGCAAAAAAATGCATTGATTTTTCTCGGACATGCACTTATGGCATAAATCGATTCCGTATTCCTTAAGCTCCGACCAAGTCGCCGGCTCGCTGCGAGTAATAACTGTATGCTTTATGTAATTAGGATCGTGACTAAAACACCACACGAGTACATACGAGTAACACACAAGTACATACGAGTACATACGAGTAACATACGAGTACATACGAGTAACATACAAGTACACACGAGTAACATACGAGTACACATGAGTAACATACGAGTAAATACGAGTACATACGAGTACATACAAGTAAAATACGAGTACATACGAGTAAAATACGAGAATTAGCACGCTTTCTTTAAAGTTTCTTTCACTTTCACACTTTCACTTTGGCTTCGTATTATGTTCATGTTGTAAATGCCTTATTGACATAGGCGTACGAGACGGGGGGGGGGGCAACTGCCCCCCAAAATTTTGGAAAACCATGGAAATTCGGGCAAACGCTAGGAAAAATCAAGAAAATTCGGGCAGATTTATGAGAAAATATGTTAAAATCAGGTTATTTCTTTACAATTCTCCATAAAAATTCAGGCAAACTTTCAACTTCCCCCGCCCCAGAAAATATCAGCCCTGTAACCCCATTCTTCTATGTGTTTTGCAAATTTAATACGTCAATTGTACACCTGT